CTTGCCCTTTGATTGTTTTAACCAATATATATATCAAGTCAATTTCGGACAAGGCAAATGCCCATTTGACGACCATACCTTTAACGATAGGCTTAGTCAGCATATATTTGATAACGTCTATGAACAGTGGTCGGCAACAAATAGTGCCATAACTTAGTACATGCGAAATAGAAAGACAGACCAATCTTCTCAATGGCAGTGTATCGCCTCTCGACACCGTTTGGCATCCTTATAATAATACATCACATGTTCCTTGCCTTCGGCATTCTCTTGTGCCACCATGCTTCCAATTGTTATATCGGTCGTTGACAAGTAGAGTTGCAATGGCCTACCCGATTTAGGTGGCATTAAAACATGAGGATTAAATAAGTTATCCTTTATCCTATTAAATGCAAGATGCTACTCTTCTCCCCCAAATAAACTCTTCCTGATTTTTAGCTTCAATAATGAAGAAAAGGCTTCTATTTTACTAGATAATTTTGCAATGAATCTATGCAGAAAATTTATCTTTCCTATCACCATTAGTAACTATTTTTTGGTTGTAGGGGCTAACAATTATAGGATTGCTGTAGCCTTATTTCTATCAATTTCTATTCCTTTTTTATTAACAAGAAATCTTAGAAAATTACCGGCCTTCACAAAGAACACTTAAAATGGTTCATTTTTAATTGATATTTCTTCATCCTAATAAACTATTGTTCAACATAGTCAAGATGACTTACCTCTTTCAACTTGACGATGATGTCATCGTTGTAAACCTCCATGAAGTTACCAATCATATCATGGAAGATAAAATTCATGACTCGTTAATATGTTGCTCCAGAATTTTTCAACCCAAACGGCATCACAATCCATTCAAAAGTACCGATTGCCCCTGCGCACCTAAAAGCCATCTTCACACATCCTCTTCGGCTATGAAGATTTGGTTATACCCCGTGTGAGATTTTGTGGAACCACTGCCAACTGTTCTAAAAGCTTAAGCTGTTAGATGAATGCGTGGTTTAATATTTAATTACTCTAACACTCTCCATCACGCTTAGTATTATTCTAAAAGCTTAGTCTGGTCTTTTTGCCTAGTACTAAATATGGACATATTTAATTAGGGAGGCAAATAGAGCCTAGAAATATTTGAACTCGGGACCTCCTGGCTCTAATACCATATGAGATTTTGTGAAACCACTGCCAATTGTTCCAACTGTTCTAAAAGTTTAAGCTGTTAGATGAAGGCGTGGCTTAATATTTAATTACTCTAACACCCCGAATGACTATCCATCAACAACATCATCTCATTACCCGATGCCAAATCTACTAACATGTTGGCTATCGGCATCTAGTACTCATCCTTAGGCATCACTGCATTCAAATTTCTAGAGTCAATGCAAACTCTCAACTTCCCATTCTTTTTCTTCACAAGGACAATGTTTGAGAGCCAGTCAACATATGGGGCGGTCTTTATGATATCGGCCTTTCAATAGTCATCCTATCTCCTCTTTCATTCTAGAATTTAACAATGGAGCGAATCGCCCGTGGAGGTTGCAAACTCTTTGCTATTGTTGTTAAACATTAATAATAGAAACCAGAGCTGGTCATTAACATATATAAGCTGCCCAATGAGCTGAACCAAAGTACCTCTAAAGACCGGAAAGCCCGCCAATGAACTGGAAAAAGCATAACATGATAAACAGAAGAGGCTTGCACATATTCTTTTTATCTTTATGCCAGCTTTTTTCTAGGCAGAATTTTCATGGAAAAGGAAATTAAAAGAGATTAATTAGCCTTGATTCAATCAGTCAAAGTACCGGGTCGACCAATTTATCCGACAGGACTTGCTCACCTCCTTTATCTCTGAAGTGGACCATACTCAGGTGATACTTAGCTGGGTGATCTCATAACCAGAAGGCATGCAATTTGATCATCGAACTTCCATCTCGGTAGCTTTCTTCTTCAGCTATACGATCGATGATAAAATCCAATCCCAGACAAGACGGCCATGAAGCACATATCAGAGGGAGGAACAAGGTTTTGAAAGCAACTAACTTGATTGAGCAAGCAATAAAATGCAACACCAATTACTGACCTTCCCAAGAGACTACACACTGATTAAGAAAAGACCCTGAACTCGAAGGCATGACTATCATGAGATCCGGTGGGAATAACGGTATAGAGATATGTCCTAAAGAAACCTATTATCATACATTGGTGCTGCTTCTCAAGTTCGGGCATGGACAGACGTTACGTATCGTCAGACTTAAGATACCATCTTTACTATATTTTACAGGAATCTTCGCGTCCCTAGAATGCACTCATTGGTTGAAGCTACTTCTTGCAGTCTCTCCAGGACTCGTTGGATTGTTAAAGGGCAAAGCTACAGTCAAGCAATGCGTGTTGTCCACTTTATACGATCCGTACTACAAAACAGCAGCTACAAGATCATAAAGCATATAATCCCAGCATCTGCCAAGGCAAGACTAGCACAAGAAATTATCACAGGGAAATCCCCCAGAAACAAGGACAATGAAAATAGTCAGGACAAGTTAAAGCTGCAAGCCATGAGAAAGCATAAGCTATGCAATAAGACGAATACAAAAGTGACGGAGCCGCCGCATACTCCTTTTCCTTCTTGGAAGAAGCATGCGACCAAACTGGATTTTGGGGAACAAATTATTTCTTATATGCGAAAAGCTATTCTTTTCTTTTTCTTCGTGACTCTCCAACCAACAAATGAAGAAAGGGTGGGTATACACAGGGAAATTACGTTTTTTTCCAAACCAAGTGGCGAAAAAATCGATAGTTAATATCATTAAAAATCTCAAATTGATACCTTGTAAGACAATTATTTCAAACTAACTTTTTATCTTACAAAAAAAATTCAAACCGGTACCTCCAAACACTTTTACCCCACACTAATCTTTGTCTTGCAAAAAATATCTAGCCGGTACTCCTTACCCAAATATACCATCTGTTAAATTGCATACATGTCTAACAAATGTAGATTTTTCACGTTAGATTTGTCATTCTCCACATTAGATTCATCTGTCACATGCGTTGAGAAGTATGCATTTTACCGGATATTGGACGGAATGGCGATGGAAAGCTAGCGAAGGGTGAACGTGTAATGGATACCAAATTAATTTGGGGTAAATGTAACACGGGGTAGCTATTTGGGATATTTAATGATATTCACCAAAAACCGATATATCCTTTGCGAACCTTAAACTGGTTTTTTTTTTTTGGTCGTCATAAATTATTCGTCTAGGATGCTGCTACAAAAGTTTTGTGTCTGATTCTGATGTGAGGGGAGGTGCTACCGAAAGTCGTTGGCAAGTAACACCTTCCTTGGAAGTCAATTCTTGATTGGGAGTTTCTTCTTCTTCTGCAAGAATATCTTGATTGGGAGTTGAGCCGGGCGGTATTCGAGTCTTCCGGAGTCAGACGTATCTTCCTACTCGAGCTGAGCTAAACGATATGGTTACGACTTGTTTTATGCCGACGTTGGTGCAAAATTACACTAGGGCGAACTAACTCTCAAACGATTGGGAGAACAAATACAAAATATTTCTTCTGATTTTAGCTCGATCGAACTTACACAAAATAAGTTATTCGAAGATTGTTTGAAGTGATGCGCATGCACGAGGCATGCCGGTTTCAAAAACCGAAGGAAAGTAGAGTGGCCGATTCAAGTAGAGCGCAAGAATAGGAAACTAGAGTGCAGGACTGGAAACTACATGAAATTCGAAAGAGATTGGAAATTGAAGGAGGTGTAATTGCGATGCTCAAAAGTACAGGGAAATGATAATGCATTGGAGGAAACTCGAGTACATAGAACGGAAATAAAATTGTTGGAATCCAAACACATGTCTAGAACAAAAATTGGAACTAAAATTTCTACACGAGTGATGCTCAAGAAAAGAATAATATCGAAAGGAGAAATGTGAAGTTTCTATATATTTCTCTATGAAGAGTACGTGAACTTATTTATAAATTTTATTATATGACTATCTACGATAACATATCAATAAAGAATATATATAATCAAAGAAAGCTATGATGAATCTCTTAGATACATCCAACGTCCCGAGAGATATGAAATATCAAAAGAAATATCCTAAATATGCGTGTAGGCGATTTTTGAATGAACAGGACATTTCCAAGGTTTTGCTTTTGGTCAAAAATTTTCAAGGAGTTTGCGCAGCCAGAGTTTGTCGCGACGAACAGTGATCCTGACAGCCGAAGGCTGTTGCTTGAAGGGAACACACGCAAATTTTTAATGAGTCTACTAACCAAAGGCTGTCACGACAGATGGTAATATTCAAGATGCTCCAGTATTTCTCGTGGCACAGTAGATATCCATTCCTGAAATCCATATTGAACAACTTATTGATAGCCCTCTGCGTTTCCTCACTCCCACAAACAGTTCCATGCTCTCTTCACTTCCTAAGTCTACATATATTGTCCTCGTTAGTGCAGAAGGTTAAGATGACAAATTGACCCTGTTAAGTATTCTAGTTTCAGTTACATCTTGGGAGCTTCCCCAGGAAAAGTCACCCAGGAATCACCATTCTCAATAGCTAAAAGAGCGAAAAAGAAAGAGAAAATAAACATAGAAAACAATCAACATAGAACACAAGCATGTGGGTTTTCTTCCTTATCGCGTGGCCAAATGCAGTGAGACAGGCTTTTATGGTGGAGAATCATTTTTTAGAAACACAAACGGATTATTTTTGCCTGTGGAAGTGCTAACATCATTGGCCTAATAAAAGAGCAACATGATATGACTGTCACATAATAAGCCTTCAAATAAGAGAGCTCATGCACTGCAGATGATGAAGCACGGTAATTTTTTATGGAAAAATGCAGTGTTTGATGGAATTTACATAACACGGAATCAGGATTAGTGAATTGGTTAGAACAAAAATAAGACGATGAAGATTAGTGTATTGGTTAGAACAAAAATAAGACGATGATTACCCATTTGACACTAATTGCAACACTGACACGGGTAGGGGAAATGCTTTGTTCTTGCTACTTTTGAGTTATTAACATCAACTAAGATCAAGAGTTAAACTCTGCAACACTGAAACTGTAACTCCTCTGTCAATCTTTTAAGACTCAGCCCAAAAAGGAAGGAACAGTATGTGACTCCACGCATCCGCACTCAAGTCCCATCGGCTTATCTTCTCAACGTGCATCCACTGGCCCTCAAGGCTACAAATCTCCCATTCAAACAAAAACAGCCAGCCATATCTCCTCCATCAAGTAGTCTTGCCCCATCATCACTCTGATATTGAGTATCCACCTAGCCCAGCCAGTAATGACAAAAACAAGTAAACAATAAAGAAATCAAAATGCCATTAAAGTTTCATGAATGCAAGCAGAAAGTACCAGCAAATTAAGCACCGCGTATGAGGAACATTCGAGGACAAGGTCATAACAGTCAGAGAAGGCACTAAAAAGGGCTGCCTAGTGCACAAGGCTCCATGCACTGTGAGGGGCTGGGGAGGAACGTGGATCAGCTGTCCCAATCCATGATCCAATCCTCTGTCAACACGGAAGGAGGTGCTGACATGTGGGAGTGAAAATTTTAACATAGAAAGCTGGCTATGGGCTGTGAAAATGCTAGCTCTGCATGTGGGCTTTAATGAATTTTTCAGGCCTAATGTTTTAACCTTTCTCTAGTCAGGCCCGATATCCTATCAACAAGGAAACAAGTAATACAAAGTGGAAGGGTTTTGGTCATCAGCTTCTTCTCCAAGCCGATCAGTCTTCTTATTAGCCCTTAATTGCTGATACCTTCTTTTTCCAATCATATGAAGCAGCACCCAATTTTAGCTCCCTTGTGCCTGGGATAAGTAGACCCAATTCTTTTAGGATGTTAGTGTGTGTTCAGGTCTATATGTGTACCCACACACACTTATCTTTGTTTTTTTCATTATTCATGTTGCAGGCACAATATCACAGAAGAAATTACGAGGTTGTGCATTGAAGAGGACATTTCCAAGGAAAGAGGATAATGTGCCTAGACATTTTCCCCCCTGTGAGTTGATGATAGTTTTGTGAATATGCAAGCGTAAGGTTTTTGTCCTTTTGGATATCAACCACCTCCACATCATGGATGAGCATATAATGGTCTATTCCTTCTTTGTTAACACCCGTAGTGGTCCCAGCAAGATTTATTCATATACTTGTCCTTAAACTAAGTTTTGATACATAGAATGATTATCTGGTGCACCTATAAATTTGGTATTGATATTATGTAATATCAAATTTTTTTGTTTGTTTGGTGTTCCGGTCACTATTATGTGTTTTCACTAAAAGAACAAAGGAATAAAGAGAATAAAGAAATTAGAATCAAAATTAGTAAAAGAGTTCAGAGCACAATTAATGTAGCCATTGAAACAGCCAAAAGAAAAAAAGACAGACTGGTGCATCATGGAGTTGTACAGACGTTCAAGTCAAGGAAAGCAAAAAGTAGCAATACTTACCTTTAAAAGTCGGCTCCAACTTTTCTTGAAGATGATGGAATGTTCGTTGTGCAGCAAGATCTTCACTCATAAATCAGAATCATTCTTGAAGCAACTTCCACAATATTCTGACCATAGATGAAAGTAACATATCTGCCAATCATTGTTCTCCTTGTGATTGCACATATCAACTTTGAAATTACACTTTGTTCGATCTGGTAATTCAGTCAGTGAAGGGCACTTGAATAATGTGAGCTTTCTAAGATGGGGCAAATTTTCCAGCCATCAAGTGTTTGCACACTGCAGTGGGTTATTTTCAGAAGATGCAATAGCTTTAAATCTTCAAATCTCCGCCAAGTGACAGCATTTGAGTTCTAATTCAAACAAACCTCACTGGAAAATATTGTGGGACTTGAATCTTGCAGTGCCAAAGACAATGTCGATAAGCTAGAGAGTAGCTCTTGGAGGTCAAGCAAGCTTTCCTAGTGTAAAACAAGTTACGAAGTTGAGGTGCACTAAAATTTTCAGGTGGCGTCATAATCTTTGAGAGGCAGATTCCAGGGTTTCGAGATTCGCTGGACTTTTTACCCGTCCAATTTGTGGTGGCTTATTGGAAGATTTCCGCATTGGATCAGTAATATCACCCAAGTTATCACCCACGTGCAACTCTTTCAAGTTTCTCGGGTAAGAAAGATTTAACACTGCAATCATTTTTTTGGATCGAAGCGAAGACTGCTCAAACTGGATGGAACTCTTCGCAGAGCCAGAAGTTGGTAACATTCACTTGAGTTTAGTTGTTGGAGATGAGAGAGTAATGAAAGGGTTTGGCACCCAGAAAACCTGTCCTCACTCTAGGGCAGGCCAAAAGTCTAGGTAGATAGTAGTCCCAAGGTTTTCAAAGAGGCTAGTCCATTGATATCACAGCAAATTAGCCAGCCCTTCAGAGATCTATCTCTTCCAGTTTTTCTAGATTTTTTAAATCTTTGGGGAATTCTCATGAGTGAGTATCCTCCGTCTTCCACACTTCCAAATTTTTCAAATCCTTGACGGACCTAGGTAATCTAGCAATCGTGGTGCTTGACATATGCATGACTTCCAGCAACTCAAGTGAATGACCAAGTTCTCCAAATGCAAATAAGTAGTTCAGAGACCTCGCTGCACCCTTGCCAATCAAGCCACCTTAACTTTGAAAGAACATTTTGAGAACTCCCTCCAATAATAGCCCGATCCAATCTCAAGATCCTCAACCTCCATAGATGGCCAAATCCTTCACATCTAAAACAATTTACTTTGTCCCTCATCAAACGTGAGACCAAGGGCTTCCACATTTATAGCACTCTGCAAATCGAGGGAACTGAATAAATAGAAAGGGAAACATAATATGGCCTTTCACACTTCTTTTGGGGAAGAAAAATTAAGGAAAGGAAGTATCTTCAAAGATTGTTGACTGTGCTTACATTAAAAGATTTTGTGCTTGGAAAGTATACCTCCTCTCCACTAAGAGTGGAAAGTGCATCAGTGCGATTCCACAAACAACTGCTCTTTCGAGGCTTTTTGAGATCTTTCATCTTCACAATTTCCCTGCCAAACTCTCTTAATTGATTATGCATCCATAGTTCTTTGTTTTCTCCTGTCTTGCCCAAACACCCGTCACGGAGGAACTAAATTCCTCTTGAAGGACAATAACCGTAGGCACTCATACACATGTATAAGGGTTTTTTTATTTACCCATCCAATGAAAAACATGCTATATCGAGAAATTTCTGTCTCGTCTCTTCATCTAAAGAGCCATATCTTACCTTGAACGCTTTTTCGACATCATTTTCGAGCTTCCTTCTTAATTTATCCGATGCCTCTCGCCATATTTGTATTCATCCCTTATAGCCATATAGGTATGAAGCTATTACCTCAATAGCCAAAGGAAGGCCTCCAATAATGTCGATAATGTCTTTTGGACAGAGAATCATCCTCTCCTCTTTGGGAGATATCCACAAAAGTATGCTTGCAGAAAAGTTGATGAGCTTGTTAAGGCCTCATTGGTTCATCCTCATACTTATCAACCATTCCATCCCCATAATTAATAAGAACATCTTTTCTTCCAACTTTCATGTGAATGCTACTTCCTGGGGCCAAGCCAACTGAGATTCCCAAATGAAGGCTTGATTAGTTCAAAATCATGCACACCATCAACTAAATGAATTTGCAATGACATTAATACCTTGGTCAGGAGTCCTTAGACTTCTATATTCTTGCTTTCGGAGGTGTGAGAGTACCTGTTCTTGCAAGCCCATGAATATTCATTTTAACATTTTCCCAAATATCTGAAAGAAAACTACAACCTTGAAAGAGATGATGGATTTACTTTGTACACAACCTTTGCAACGGTAGTCTTGCCAATCCCTGGCATTCCGCATATACCAAATACTAGGGCATCTTTGTCACATACTTCCGTTGATTACTCATTAAAATAGATGACACCAAGCTCTTTCATAACCTCCCGTATGGGGTTCAATGCCCACTAAACTGCTAGTTACAACTAAATCATTCTTCTTCAACAACAGTACAATATCTGAAACAACTCTCCTTTTGAGTTCACCTTGATGCCTGCCAAATGTGAACAATAAAAACGAGGAATCGCGATGAGACTATAAAACAATTAACATCAGCCTAAGAAAATTACAAAGGAAATAATCCAGTTAAACCGTACTAAATTGACCAACAAGGACAATGCAGTGGGCAATAACAAGGGCACAGGAAGTACATTTTACCTCATAATCAACTCTAGTCCTATCCAATAAATGATTTCAAAAGCATTTTGCTTGGCAAAATTCTCATAAAGTTAAAGCTCATAACATTAAAAGGACAGTGAAAAGCTGATTACCCTTTGTTTGTATTCAGCAGCTCATACCTACATCTCAGCAATCTCTTGGAGAACCTGCTTCCATTTAGCAATGTCCTTGCAGTCAATTCCATGGTTCTTGTGCTCACATGACTCCCCAACACATCCACGTTGGTGTTATAAACCAGTGGGGTTAACATCATAGAAAATGGGCACGATGCTTTTGAAATCATTTATTGGATGGGGTATCCCGAAGAGGAGTATAAGTATGATTCTTTGTCCATAGACATTGTTGACATTATTGGAGGGCTTCCTTTGGCTATTGAGGTAACAGCTTCATACTTATATGAGAATAAGGGGAAAATACAAATATGGAGAGAGACATTGGATAGATAAAGAAGGAAGCTAGAAAATGGTATCGAAGAAGTGTTCAAGGTAAGCTATGGCTCTCTAGATGAAGAGACATGACAGATATTCCTCGACATAGCATGTTTTTCATTGGATTGGATAAGAAAATTCTCTCATTCGTGTGGAGTGCTTGTTGCTATTATCCTTGAAGGAATCTAGTTTCTCGGTGACAAGTGTTTGGTCAAAATAGGAGAAAACAAAGATTTATGGATGCATAATCAACTAAAAGAGTTCGGCAGGGAAATTGTCAGGATGGAAGATCCCAAAAAGACTCGAAAGTGCAGTTAGTTATGGAATCACAGTGATGCACTTTCCACGCTTAATGGAGAGGAGGTATACTTTTCAAGCACAGATTTTGAGTGTAAATATAGTCAACAATCTTTGAAGATTCTTCCTTTCCTTGATTTTTCTTTCCCAAAATGAAGTGCAAATGGCCATATTTGATCTGTTTGTGATGAAATAATCCCGAGATCCAACTACGGGAGGTGATTGACACTGAGCAACAAATCTCTTCCCTAACATCTACAGTGACCAAAAGAGGGAAATTTCACATCAGTGATGCAACTATTTTCATAATAAGATGAAGAGAGATTATGTGGTGCAAATTATTTTAAGGGAAAAATGAGAGAGAATGAACTTACAAAAGTTGGAGGAATTCTCACATCAAAGAGCCGCAACTATTTCTCATCAGTTTCAAGAACCGCGTTTTCCACTGTGCTCATATTGGATACAGTAATCTTCTCAATTTCACTAAATAGAGTTGTGTGTATTCAAAAAGGAACCACGCCATAAGTGCAAGAGCAAGTGTGCCTCATAGAAGACAGCTTTGTATCTACCATGTTCCATATAAAGGACACAGAGTTAAAATACATAAACCATTGTTCTAACAGTTTGTATGTATTCAAAGTTACAAAAATATAGGCAGAAAGGGGTATAAAAGAGGCTTACTCGATAGATAGAAGAAGGAAAGGTGGATCAAAACCAAGAAATAAGGAAGTCAACCGAGATAAGAGGGCATCTTCTGCATAAAGAAAGAATCATAGAACCTACAATAGAGATAACAAAAATGGAAAATAAATAAATAAGTATATGACAGTAAAGATAATGAAAATGGAAGGAGTATTAATCTTTAATATTAGCTGCACAATGGAGCTAAAAGTTCCAGTGAATGGCAAGAAGAGGCCAAAGCATACCAGCCATGTAACAGTTTAGGAGCTGGTGAAGTATGTGTAGTTCTTTGGTTCTGCATTTACTGTGAGATGTTGAGAGTGATACCATCATTGAGGACAACCCCACCAAAAGTACCTATCAGATGGTAAGAAAATCCGTCCAGTAAAAAACTGATACAAATTCCAAAGAGAAGGTAGACCTAACTACGTGCACCTGCAAGAGGATGAGCATGGACAACTTTTGATTTTTTCATGTCACGACTACAGATAATTGATCAATACTTACTGCCTTCAGCATGCTTGTCTAGCCACCTTGCAGCTACTCCTATAACAGTGATCAACACTCCGCTCGATATCCTACACAAAATAGTCACAACGCCCAACATAGGAGCAAACTCAGCTGATGTCAATGCAAAAGAGAGTTAAGGTAAACTGAGGATGACAAATATATACAGGTGGAGGCATCTTTTTAACTCTTTCCATGGATAACTTTAAGTTCTTCATGTCAATGCCTTGTACAACTTAATATCAGTGGTTAGTCATCAGCATATCCTAGAACAACTACACCAAAGATGACAAGCCTTCCATTTTCCTAATTGACAGTGACATGGGTAATACTTTTTCATGGTAGTTTCAGCATGCAAAAGCAATCTGCAGATGCTCCAAACAGAATATGTGGCCTAGAGAAAGAGTGTTTATATTAATATATGCGGTTCTAGATAATGGTAAATAACCCAAAGCAGGGCCTTCAAATTGCGGACATTGAAGAAAAACAGTAGATAGAGAGATTACAAACCCCACCCCCCTCCAAAAAAGAGATATCAAAAAACAAACTTAGAAGCATGTGAAAGAACAAGTGCAGACTTGCTACTATAACGCTCTGAAAAAATAGTCATGGTTTGGTAAAGTGACATACACCAATGGATTATCATCAGGAATTTCAGCTAGCATCGGTGCGAATCCAGACATGAACCAACAGTCCAAGCAAACAAAAGCTGGTATCTGAGATCTCCACGGGATCAAGTAGAATAGATAAGAAAACGCAGCAAACCCCGCAAAAAGGAAGCACCAAGTACAGAGCTTCCTCTCGGTGAAGCTGTTAACCTGATGAATAATCAAATACAAAGATGCAAACTTGAGGTTCAATTTTCAACAAGGTTCAATTTTCAACAAGCAAAACACCGAACAGGTGGCGGGCGCGTCACCATACCGACGAGAAGACCGAGGCGCCTGGCGGGTGCCCCGAAGCGAGGAGCGACGGGATCCAGGGCCGTGGACAAACGGGATTCTTGAAGTAGATCTCGCATATGCTCAACCATGTACACGGCGTGAAGACCCACGCGCCCAGAACCACGACCCACCTCCCTCGTCTCTTCAGCCGCCTCCTCCGCCGGCCGACGCCTTCTCAGGCTCGCGCGCATCGCCGATCCCCAAGATCCCATCTCGGACACCCACTTCTCTTCTTCTTCTTCTTCTTCTTCTTCTCATCTTCTTCATCTTCTTCTTCTTGGGTGCTCTGCTGCCGGTTCTCCCGGCTTCAGATTGCTGCCATAACTCGTTCTGGTGACTCAGTTGGAAAGCAGAGAGCTCAAAGGGAAGACAGAAGACATAGGCGAGCGGCGAGAGGTCACTGGGAAAGGAAGGACGGGGATGGTTAAAAAGAAGAAAGTTGCAACCTTGGAAAGAAACCTTGTCGAGCTGTCGAGGAATGTTAGTTTCACCTAACAATAATGTCTGGTTTGGCTTCAAACCTACGCAAAAATCTCTTCTTCTTCTTCTTCTTTTTTTTTGAATTTGCTGTCAAAAGATAAAAAGTGTTGGAAATAATGAAAAGATACGTAATCATTTGGAATCTTTTCTTTTTTGAAAACTTTGGTGCCAAAAAAAAAAAAAAATATATTAAGGAAAAAAGATTCGAAAGCTTTTTGCAATTTATATTTAGTCATGGACATTTTGTCTCGGGCGTCGGGCGGGCACCTCAGTCGGGCGGGCGCTCGCCGGCGGAGGCCGCGCGCGGCGGGCCGCAGGCGGCCCCCGCGGATCGCGGCCCCTCGCAGGCCTCGGATCACCGGATGGAGGCCAAAAAAAAAAAAGAAAAGAAAACAGGCGAAAAGGCAATACCGTCAAAAAAAAGTTGGTTTTGGTAAAAATTCGAGAAATGTTGAGATGAGTTTAGTTTTGATTTTTCCTTATTTAAATAATCGGTTCGAATTTGACTCGACAAACCTCCATTGTTAATTTCAAGATGAGCTCCCGTGATTGTCACGTAATTAGTCGATTTGATAGAGTAAAATAGACATGACACGAATATTATTTCTAGATCCTCACTTTCCTCCTCTTCTAGTTACATAGTAAATATGTTCCTATCACGAAAGTCGTCATCAGTATATATCATATTTATAAGGAGGATGTTAAAATTTTTAAATAACATATACTCATGCGCTAGTAAAAACCTATTTTTAATCCAAAATGAAAAGGATCTTAAACGAATATTCTTTAAAAAAATGAAAGCAAACAAATTAAGACAAAATTGTAATTTTCAATGCACTGATCACGACCATCGCTGAAGAAATTACATCTTCGGTTGCATGTATGCATGTACATGACACATAGGTATTTCTACAGCTTTCTACAAGTTTCACCCAAGGTTGAATACCACTTTTGGCCAAAAACCTAAAAAGAACAAAATCGAACGTAGCATTTCTAGTGCTTCTCACACTGTAACAACACATGGGTACTAGGAATCAGACTTGGAATGGGCAATTCCATTCCACCTAATTTTAAAAAACCAGACACGCCAAACACACCATAAGTGTCTGGTTTTGTGTCTGGTTTTTGAGTTGAGTTCTCTGATTGAGTTGATTTTTAGGTTGAGATCTCTGATGTATTGAGAGTGTTTTTCGGCTCGAGAACTTTTCATTCATGGTCCTGGAAGTGATGGGATTCTAGAAACACTTGAGAGAAGCTATGAGATAGAATTTATATGTTCGGCGATAGATATTCTAAACAAGGGTCCTCTAAAGAGATCAAAATTGTCTGTGCTTCTTGCCAAAATATGCTTAGTTTGCTGCTCGAATTGCAGAAAGACAGTTTTACCTGAAACTTTGTATGCTGCTGTCGTTCATACTTTGCTGCATCAACTAACATCATCTACTCCCTCTCCAGCTGGTCTGTTGCTCTCTCAACTTGCTTTTTCTGGTTCATTGGGTTGGCGTCTTTTTCAACTTTAGTTTAAGCAGAAGATTTGAGTTAGTTGTAATGCCTAGTGGCGACGCACTTCTTGCCGCGACCCAGTATAAATCGTCGGAGCTTGCTTCACAGAGTGCTTTGTGAATTGCGATGCGCTCCTTCATGACAAAGTGAACCTATTTATTATGTTATTATGTATCTACAAAGTGAACCTAATTAAGTTCTTCGATGTTTAATCTTCTGGACAGCTCCAATCTTTCATCACCAAGACACTTCAGCCGCAGCCCAGGGCCCAGGGAAGGCAGACAACAAGAGCTAAAGCCTCCACAGCTGTATTTGTCGGAAGATCATGGCACGATTCTGTAGACAGTCGTCCTCGAGGGAGAAGAAGTCATTTATCTGGTTAGCTTCACAGGTCTGACAACCGAGGTATGGATTTAGATGGTCATGCTGGAGGTAGCAGCGCACGAGAAGAACCGATTCTTTCACACGTTTGAAGTCGAAAACCCAACTTTTGTGAGCCATATCTTTCCTCTTCTCATCGTGTCACACTTCTCGGTAAGGATGCTACTCTTGCAGGCAGGTACCAACTCGTGCCGCCTACTCGCCATTACACATATCGACTGCCGAAGTAGGGATGCCTGCTGCAGAGCACGCTTTCGAGGCTGAAGCTTCATATGAAATCGAGCTCAATGGCAGCGCAAGTCCTTGTTTTCTAGTCGAGTTTTCCAGTTCAGTTGGATTTTAAGTCGAGTTCTCTAACATATGTCCAGCGGTGCTTTCGTTTCAGGATATTCCACTTCGGATTTTTGGAAAGACGGGATTCGACGAGTATTTGCGCATAGCCATGACAGATAAGTCGAATTTTATTCATTAGTCAACTCAGATTCACCATTAGATCAACAGCTGAGTGCTGTAAACTACGAAATCACAGCGACTCCTGGCATATTACATCCAAAACGAGAGCTTAAACAAGGAGCCAGGAGAGACCCACGCGACAAAAGCATTGAAACGACGAGAAATGAAAGCGAAATCGACGATATATTTACAATCCCACGAGAGAGTTGAGTTGGTCACTAGAGCGTCCTCAGCGATGCTTGCTCCTCGTGTCGTCGCTGTAGAGCCTGCCATTTGGCAAAGGATGGGAGGACTTGATTAGCTTTAATATAATCAGAAACCAAACAAGCGATTAAGACGTCTGATAAGAAGATCAACTCGAAGTCACCCTCAAGGTCGACATCACAGAGATCAATATCAACTAAATTATTGATCGGCGGATCCCACATGACCAAAGATCAAGATGAGCGCGATCCACAGTGGTCTGTGGAGTGACGTGCACGCGCCGCGCATCGGCATGCACAGTGCATGCCGAAGGGAAGGGGAGGAGGGGATGGTGGTGTGCGACCACGTTACGTACCAGTCGTAGACGGTGGGGGAGTTGGGGACGGGCTTGTCGAAGAGCTGGCCTCCCATGGTCTTGGTCGCCAGGTTGCTCCCCGGGTGGAACACGCTCCTCCACACGTTCTCCTTCTTCGCCGTCGCAGGCGTCGTCGGCGTCGTCGGCGTCGCCGGCGTCCCGGGGGTCGTCGGCATCGACGTCGACCGCTGGTACTTGCTGCTCTCCCCTTCCCCTTCTACGCACACGCGTACACGCACACCCACATGGAAAAAACCAGCAAATATCAGCGGAAACTGCGTTTCACAGAGCAGACATCGACGTAGAAATTCGCGATCCAAAGCAAACAAAACCGCAACGCAGCACAACACAACACACAGACGCTCACTCCACTACATCAAGTACGTGCATCTGCCATTTTTATATAGCGAGATCTCATTTCATGGGTCGATCAAGAAGATGGTGATCGAGTCAAAATGATCTTTAGCCAAAGCCCAGAAAGGAGAAGGGACCTTTGATGATGACGGTAGGCTTGGTGGCGAGCTTTCTCAGCTTCCCGAGGCCCCGGTCCGGCTGAGGCCCGGCCACCACGTCGTCCCACAGCTTCTCCAGCAGCACCATCTCTCTCTCTCTCAGCCTCTCTCTGAATCTCTCTCCCTAGAAGCAGTAGGTCCCGAGCTCAGTGCAAATATCTGCGTTGCTATCTTGACTATAAATAATAGAAACGCACTGATCAAGACGATGAGATCGGATGGTTTCCCCCTTTTGCTATTTCCACGCCGGGTTTGTTTCCAAGCTGAAATAATCACACAAATAATTCCTGAACTCTTACCTAATATGTAAATATCATCTTTGAATTTTTATTTTTTCAATCTAATCCCTAAATTTATTAAATTTAATCCCTATACTTTGTAAAAATGTTCGATAATATCCTTATATTAAATATTTTTATACTATTTAAAAATTAAATTAAACGTGTATAAAAAATTTGAGAATCACATTATATATTAAGTTAAAATTTATGTACCATTCGTGTGATTTATCTTTCCTAGGGCGCGAAGGCTTCAGGACGTGAGTTGAAGTAAGAGGAGTGCCAAATAGCAAGATCATGGGGAGTGGAAGTGTCGAAAAGAGATTAGAAAATCTTCGGTGGATATGGATAAGAATGGAGGATGACGAGTCAGCAGAAGCGTGGGGCCCGCACGATGTAATTGTCTCTTGGCGTTTTACTTGAGATTGGTTGAGATATTTAGGTCGATTGTCGCTTCCTCCATGTGGGGCCTCTCTGTCCATATCTACAATAAAAAAAAAACCATTACTTTCTATTAGCATTTTTATGGAATTTTTTTTCGATCGCAAATTCGTCAATTTCGGTTAATCATATAGAATACTGTTAAGGATATTTTATATTATGATATTTATATAAAAGTTAATGAAGGACGAAATTTGGGGACGATGGAATACGACGCGATCGAGCTTGGTTTCGAGAGGCCATTCCGAGCCATGTCCTCTAGTCCATGGACACGCAATTCGTAAAAAGTGGTAACGTGGGTCATGGATTGTGATGGCTCGAGATCGAGCTGGAAAGGCTAGGGCCGCCCATAGGAATGAAATTGAAACAATGGTCCGGATTACTATAGTGTAATATAAAATATAGGCGCATCGCTAACTATTTACGGGATCGAAATTACGATGGCCGGACCAAGGATGGCGACCCCGAGTCGGGTTCGGAAGCCGATCCAAGAGAAATTAGGAGCGAACCGAACTAGGGATGGTTTCAAACTAAACCGGATAGGTTGGTTCGGCTCGATTTAGTTCCGAAATTAAAACACCCGAATTCCCGATTTAATGCATGATTAGTGTTTAATTGCTAGTTAATTAAGCTAATTAGTTTTTATGTAATTCAACAGACACGATGGAAAAGGAAACGGGAAACAATATCGGGTTCATCAGACCAAGTTGGGTCATCGGGTTGACCAAGCCCAGTCGACTTATGGGCTGGCCCGTATGCTGAATCTTCTATTGGGCCGCTACGGTTTTTCGGTCTCGCGATTTCTGGTTGAAGGCCCGAACGAACAGACGAAGGATTTTATTAACGGGTGATCTCAAAAGAACGCTCTTTGCACTCGTCGAGCAATCTGAAGCTGAAGTCAGTAATTTCATAATCGAGACTTTCCCTGCCGGACATGCTCGACGAGTGCCCGGGCACGCTCGGTTTAATATGAACCCCCTTATTCGAGTCGCGAATAAGAGCTGGTCGAATTCCAAGCCCGTCCTCACGACACCCGGCCGGCTGCTCCCAATGAAGTCCCCGTCCGTCCCTGCATCAGTTATTGTATTCTAAGTTCCAACACCGAACGAAAATCTAGGACTTGATTAGATTCTATGCCAGATGCGAACGAGATCAACAAATGTAATATGCAATGCATTAAAAGAAATATTCTACGGACCCCGCTATGCTCACATTACTTTATCAAGTGGTTGGCATGGACTCAACCATTCCAAAATCAACTACCCATCGAGCACCCGGCATTAGATTAGGAACATTAGTATTAAAATCGGCTTACCCGATAATTTCATACAACCTTCATGATTAATGTAAGCCGGACGTCTCGTAAAATGATAAAATCATGAATGTATCACAGGGAGGCCTTGCCGAGAACGCACTAAAGAAAAGGCTTATCTTACTTCATCCATGATTATAGACAGAGTATATATGCACGGACGGCAGTTCCAGCAAAAAGGTCCAAGACATCAGCAAATAGCAACCAAAGTAGCTCAACAGCTTAAGCCTCATCAATAGATGCCCTAAGGTAAGGTCCACTGAATATATAATAGACACAAACATTTGCAGAAGAGCCGATTTTATCTCACCTGCTTCAACAAAATGACAATGCAGACCTGGACCGACGGTATCTTCAGGGTGAGGAAACAGTTATAGCAGTCCCTTGAAAATGACTGACAAAACGCGATACATTTTAATACGATATTGACCTTCGTAATATCCACCCCTGCAAGTCCCAGCAATGTCATTTTGCATGGAGGTTTGCTATTAAATGAGAACGCGCCGACTCGTTTTGCTACAACAGCCAGCAATCCTCGTACATATCAGATAATATAAAAACGTCCAAACACATGGAAGGGCAATGGCTGGAGTACTACAAGCTTCATGACAAAACTATGACAAATATCAAGGCCTGCTCAGGCATGAGGGCGATAAGTGGATGTTTCGGATATTTTATAATTGGAGAACAACCCTTTGAAATGTCCACCATGCGAACAGACAATTCTCTAGCACTTGCATATGATGAAAAGGACTTCAACCAAAAGATGGAGGCCTATCCTTACACATACCATCCTACCTGGACTGCGAGAAGATTTCTCCTTGCTCTGACTTCCAATCAGCCACTTCAGCTTGCTCGTGCCGATCTTGAAGCACAAACAGTGTGTTAGAGTATTTTCACAAATGTCTCGCACTAATTCATATATTTACTAAAAGCTAACATTTTTCACGACTGAATTAACTGCATCCCACGGTTCACCAAAAGCAACTCCAAGAAATTTATCTTCTGTTAATACCATGCGGAATAATAGATTATGGATCTCATTAGATTTAGTTTGGACACACAGAGAAAATTAACCTTTTTTTCTACAATCACACGTGTTCGATCAAAGCATATCAGAATAGGGCAGAAAAAAATTTAGGTTTTTCATATTAGATAATTGTTCAGGGCAAAAGGCAAAGAAGAAACAAACAGTGGAAACAAGCATGTGCATCCAAATACTGTCGAATTTCTCCATATATAAAGAGCAAACTTCAAAGCCAACTTATCCAGGAACAATGGGCACTCGCCTGCAAAACAAGATTTCCGTGGATGTTGCAGCTGACAACAGTTCACTCGATTCACTCTCCTTTGCAGGCCTTGCGTGCATTCAAGATCAGCAAACAAAGCTTCCCCCCAACAATGCCAAACACGATCGAGAATTCAAATTCAGTCCCCCTACACCAGACAAAACTGCCCTTGATCAATTAAGTCACACCCCAGCCGACATCTTGATCTCCAATGGCCAGCTTCGTCCGCACACACTTCTCTTTCAGGCACAGCAATCTCAGATAGCCAGCCACACCTACTCCAGAGGGTCACCACAAGAAACTCAGAAAAACAGCAAGAACTTCAATAAGAAGAATGAGGGCTGCACAGAGGATATACGTAAAGCAAATCGAGGAACAAACGAGCAAGCAACTAAGGAGTACACCTCTTCAAGCTCATGGATTGGCCGCAAAATGCATTGTGTCATCTTCCCCTGCAGAGAATGTCATGCCACCAACCCAATCGCTAAGGCTAAATCCAAGCAAGGAGAGAGAAAGTAGATGGTGTGAAGTTTTTTCCGGTTCACATTGTTGTGTTTATCAGCTATTCATTTCTGCAAAATTGAAATTGAGAGTTAGTAACGATTGGTCATAAGGTAAAATTAGTTGTAGTCATGGTCAATGCAATGACTTCAATAAGATATCAAAGGAACCTTTATCAGAAGTACCAGAGGAGGGAAAAAATGGTTCAGACAAGTATAGTTTGATTCAAGAGGATTTTTTCTCAGAAACATTTCACAAGCCAACCAAACGATTCCACTGTTAGTTTTAGACTCAACAATTTGAAACTAGACCGATCCACGAAATTAAACAATGTTGCATGTTGTTCTAAATTTTTTTATTATCTTTGTCATTCAGCTTCCAGGTAGTTGATTTTTATATTTGAAGTAGCTCCAATTTTCATTTTGAGTAAATGAGTGATTTACACACTAGTCTCGCTAAGCTATTCTGATTTAGTCCTGATTTACAAGTTCAAAAAATTAGCAAGAGCAAACAATGGGAAAAAAATGGTTTGGTATGGAATTGAACAGGACCAAACCTCAAAAAACTGGTTGGTCCAGTCAGTTTGGTCCCAAAACTTGTCTTTTCTTCAAGCAGTATTAATGTGGATCAGTTTAATTAATTAAAACAAGTATCCCATGTAATTCATACCAATGTGACTTCCACCAAGCCACTGTAGATTGAAATTTTGAAGAAAGAAGTTGTGGCTCAAGTTAAAGAGTAGCATTGATAGAATATGAACAAGCAGACTCATTATAACAGAGACGTCATGTATCTTGATAAGATGGAGTGGGAAGGGGAACCGCATATCCCATGTAATTCATACCAATGTGACTTCCACCAAGCCACTGTAGATTGAAATTTTGAAGAAAGAAGTTGTGGCTCAAGTTAAAGAGTAGCATTGATAGAATATGAACAAGCAGACTCATTATAACAGAGAGGTCATGTATCTTGACAAGATGGAGTGGGAAGGGGAACCGCATACTGTCTTCTTTGGTTATAACATGGTTCAAGAAGCTGACAAATATATGAATATATACAGTTCTACAGTCTAGTGAAAAAGATACACAAATCTTACTCTTGCAAAGAAAAAACTCTAGCATGTCTCCAATCATCTTTTGTATGTGTGAGAGCTTACTATATTACACGTCATCTTAATCTCCATGACAACTTCTTGCAGAACCTTTCCCGCACATTTTTCTAAGACTGAGTACAAATCAGACATGCAAAGGAGACTCCTTTGGGGTGACTTAGTTCCTAAATATTTTTGTGGATCCACCAAACCTTTAATTTAGAATCATACTGCCAATTAGGAGGATGGATACCGCCCAAACCTCTCTTGAGAAATGTCTATTTCTAAGACGTGAAAAAGGTCATTGAGACTGTAAGTAGAAGGAGGAATGGAAGATTCCTCATGGGGAGAAAAACACAGACCAAAATATGCAGGTTTCAGGCATGTGAGAAGACTCCTACAGTGTGATCTCACAAATGGATCGACAGGGGTATTAAATTGTTATATGGGAGAGCAAAAGACAACATTTTTTGCACAACAAAGTGGCCAGAAACTTTGCTCACAAAAAAATAGTCCTTGGACTTCCAGTTTCTGAGAGATGAGGATTCATTCTGTGAGTCTACATCTTCAAAAGCATATTGCAGTTTCCCTTCATGCAGGATGGTATTTGTAACCAGAGACTTTCTCAAAAATGCATTTGACCTCCTTAGGAATGCAACAACATACAGGAAAAAATTCAGCCGATGGCTAGATTCAATACTAGATAGGCTTGAGAAATCCTTTCTGCCACCACCATACAGACAGTATGAACCAAGTGAGGTTAATAAGCAGACAGTACCCTCTGTTAGGTATTCCTAGGCATTGTTTGTCCTCTTTCTACAAGGGAAGAGTCCATGCGTTCATAGGTTCCCTTATAATAAGCGCAGCTGACCGTGTTTATAACATGCTTCACCCAAGTGCATGACACGTTTTATTCATCAGTTAAATTCACTTTTTGCCAGCATGTTTAAAGTTGTTCCAACTAGGTCAGTCAACTTCACATTTCATTAATGGTAGACGACAAATTAAGACAATCATCCGCTAGTTTAAGAGAACAACTGCCATCATCTTCTGGTAATCAATGAAGGGAAACACCTAATTGAAGCAAAATACGAAATTGACGACATAATCAGAATGGATTAATATACAGAAACCAGAGTGAAATAAAGTCGATGGATGAATAACCAAAGGTCTGTTTTACCAGCTTTTCATTAGAGAGAACCACGGATCTCACGTTCACTAAGAATACTAACCATACACGACAAGGTTCAACACGACCATTTAAACATCACCCGAGAGATTAGAGACGGTTTTTTGCATTTATTATCCAGATCGCTACGCTTCCAGAAAGAGCACATCAATCACAGTTGTAAGCATGAAAATATGAATCTAAATATCTTACAACTATATGATCTAACATTTAAGAAGTGATTCGATCTTAAAAATAGATTTTTTTTACGAGGATTTTTCAGTGTATGCATCGTAACTGATGAAACCGTAAGATCGATACGATCCAACCGAATTGATTATTCATTTTCCAAATGAGTCTGATATATTTAGACTTTTTTTTTTTGGTAAAAAAAAAGGCATGAGTTCCGGTACAGGAGATGATACTGGCTTACTACTTCTTTGACGTTTCAGTCTTACCAAAACCATTTTTTTTATTGAGTGTTGGCATGTTATATATTTCTTTTTGGAAAGTCTAGGATTTCACAATCCTATCATTAGACGCCATCATCAATCCAAATTAGGATCTCAATCTTAACAACATTGATATCTAATGAAATAAGTAAATACAATTTTCTCCTGTCCCATAATATAAATACCCAGCTCAAGGCAAACATTAATATCCAAATTACCCCGAAATATGCATACAGTCACAGGAACTATTCAGCCCAAAGAAAATCTCACTTTTACTCACACTAGAAGAATGTACAACCATCTACTATGGCTTCCAGCAGGTAAAACACGGCAAAACTTGAATAAGATGCGTTGGACTGGGCCTTTCAATCTTTCCCATGCTTGTCAACATATCCCTGCAAGTTACAGAAGTAAATGTTAAACTTCAGTGTTAAGCATGTGTGCCCTTTCATTCTTTTTTGCAGTAAATACATCTCCAAAATCAAGTTATTCACCTCAACCAGCTTTGTGAGTTTAAGCTGTGAAAAAGAAAGAAAATGCTTTATTGACTCCGGGTTAGGTGGAATTTGCTGTGGCTGTAAGGTGGTAAGAACCTTGTCGACTGCTTTTTTAACAATCAAATTATGGGCATCCTTGCTGAGACGACCCCCTTGCCAAGTTGGTTTCAATAGTTCCTTTACATAATCTATAAGAGCAACTCGAAAATGTCTCAATGCCTTCGACTCCTGGTTCACATCTGCAGCCTTCTTCTGCGTGACATCCATTTCAATATCTTGTCTAACTTTGTCTGATAGCAAGTCCTTTTTGTGGCCTGCTACATCACTTCCAAGCGCAGAACCAAGATCCATACTACTTCCACCAATGTGGGAACTATCCTTGGCATGATCTGACTGCTGGTCATTCTCTTTGGACATGTCATTTTCAGTTTGGCTGTCAACAACTGAATTCTCTGCTGTCTCAACCGCAGATCCATTTACATCTTTTCCATGTAAGTAGCTGCCCTCATCTAACCCATGCTCATTGAATCTATGATGTGAAGATGAATAACTGTTGTTTACACGTTCTTCAACTAGGTTCCTTTTTGAATCGCTATGGACCAGCTGCTCTGCTTTATTAAGAACGGATGCTCTCTGACTAGAAAACGACAATCTGAAAGATTCATTTCTTGTTTCATGTTGCTCGATGCTATCACGGAAAGGGTCACATTTACTCCCTGGAGATGATATAGTCGTCGGAGTTATGAGGAAAGATGATCGAAAAGGTTCAGATGGCTCCCAATCATAAGAAGAAAATCTCCTCCTATTTCCAAACCATGGCAGTGAATCTGCGGATATGTTTGCTCTAGATAAATTTCCTGGATCAGAACCAGCTAGATCAGATGAACTTCCCAAGAGAGAAGAAGATCGATGGCCAGCATTGTCCACATCGAGAATACTCTGAGCAGGAAGAGGATTTGAGACTTCAGAGAAAGTATCAAAGATCCTTGAAGAACCTGTCAGCCTTGAGGTGTTTTGGGAAGGCAATATTGCAGTAGTCAAAGGATATTTGACACTTGAATTAAGAGCGTGGCTTATGATAGGCGAAGAATCGCCAATAAATTTTCTCTGATAAGTAACTTGGTCTTCCGAAATGGAAGCGTGAAAAGAGGTTTGCTTATCTTGGCCTAGGTCAAAAGATCGTAATGAACCACTCAAGGGAGGTAACCAATAATCCCTCATTGAACCAGAACCGCCACTACTAAGCTTTGAAGCATGCATTCTGTAATCATCAGCACTCCAACTCCTTTCCTGCAAATCTCCCCCTTTGTCCATATCTGCAGACATATGTCCATCATGATGCTTGAATAAAGGCAATTGATGGGAATCAGTTGGAGTGCTAAACAATAAATCTTCAACACCACGGGGTTTGGAAACAGCTATTGAATGGATTTGGTGCACGCTTTCCTTTTCTCTAACCACCTGCGACTGAATCTGTTCCAAAGAAGAACCAGAACATAATGCAGAATTATTGGCAACTGAAGAAGCACGATGCTTTGGCAAGCCTGGTGATTTTGAGAAATCAAAATCATCGTTTCGTCCTGACACAAGATATGAAGCTCGTAAAGAACACAAGGTGCAGGGTAAGATATTTACATCTGCAAACTAAAGATATCATACCTTCATCATGGGCAGCTTCTTCTATGCAACTTGAAGCAGTACCATGTCTGCGCACCAGCTCAGGAGTACTATTCAGATTATCTTTGATGTGCAGAAACCTACATGAATCTCCTCTGATGCACCATCCCTTTGCAAAAAAATCACAGACGATTGCTACTCGTTTATTTCGTTCTGACAACTCCGGTCCTGGAGACAAACTTCTCAGCCTTGCACTGGAAGCGTTCAACTTAGGACACCTACAAACAGCAGGGATTCACTCAAAATATAACACGAGAAGGTAATGAAGTTTTGGTGGGAAAAAAGGCAATTAGCTGGCAACTCCAAGAGTTGCATTTTTTCTCTTTTTGTTAAATTTCAGGGTCCTAATAGCCAACACCACCATACCTTGATGACATTTGCATGCCATCCGCGGGCTGCAAGTCTACTTGCTTATCCTTCTCAGAACAAGGAGCAGCATAAATATCAGGAACAGTTAGGCTGTCATATGGAAGTGAGACATCTTGGTTTTGAGTAGTCCCAACACAGTCAAAATGAGCATGGTCTCTAGAAAGTCCACTGCAGCCAATAGGAACTTTCCTCTGTAGTTCTAGTTGAACCCAATCACCTTTCCCATCCACGGCAGACTCTGGATCTTCAACATCTTCAGGAGGACCTCGACATTTTCCAAGCTTTGGAGAAGTAGAATCATTGCCAACGGAATCAAACCTTTTCACTGGTTCTCTCACTGGTCCATGCCAAATGACAGCAGTTCCAAAATCGCAATTCCTGTCCTCTGAAGTTCTATTAGATGAAGAATTGGCTTCAGATTTTCCTGCTGCAGAAGAGCAGGATCTCAAGCGCCCAAATGTCGCCTTAAGTTTGTCATCCCGACTAGCTTCTAAATCGAAAAATGAAGGGATTTAGGAATAATATGAAGTGGTTGTCTAATAAAGGTGCTAGCAGCCAACACATCACTATCCGATAAGGTCCCAATACACGAGTCCTTGTCTAGAAGACCAAATAGTGTATCATAAAGCCAGATGAATTTTCATTCTGAGTTAGTGACCACATAGTTGCAGACTATGAGATTTCTAATAAAAGAATAAGAACTTTTCACAGAATAAAATGTACTACCCTAGCAATTGTATTGTCATTAAGATAACTGACTTTCACAATTTGTCCTTCTGAAAAATGCAAGAACCTCGAGTGTATAAAAAATCGAACATTCTCTAGAACTAAGGGTAAGCGCCTATCATGGCTAATTGTAAAGTGACGGAAAATCCTGTTAGGCAGAGGAAATGAGTGGTAGATAGCTAAACACTTCCAGCAAATCATTCATTGAAACACGCAACTATGACAATATAACAGTCGAAAATGTGTTGCAGCTAAACTGAAACTTCTAGATATTATGTTTCTTAAGAGAGACAACATATGGTTTGACTAGCAAACCAAAGCCATAAGTAGGTACAAAATCATGGAGGATGGACAGGATCCAAATATACATAATTGGCTGAAGCCTCAATGTCCTCCATGAAGAATCACGTTGCGCCCATGTTAAAAGCAGTAAATATTAACGGAGATGAACCGAAGAATCCATAAAACCATAAATTATTACTTCTATCATATTTGAAGAGGAAAACATAAAAAGTCGGTAAAGAGTAGTTTTTGTTGTGTCACAGTGAGAACTATTTATGAAGAATGATATTAATGGAATCAAAGACATGTGATTATGCTATGTGGGAAACTAACTATGCGTAAAGTTACTTCATACAACTAATTTATTTTGCTAAAATTTGTCACGTGACCGTTTACTTTAATTATGATCTAGTCATACATGTCAAGCCGCTTTCCATTATAAAACGCCTCAAAATCATTTGTAGATTTACAAATGCTTAATATGCTAAGAACATGAATTTGTCGTTTCCCTTCCAGAATTAAGAATTTTTGCCGTGGTTTTCCCTATGGTAAAGCACTAAATTTTCATCAAGATATATTTAAAACTAAAAAACGGTCTATAGGTGGATCAACCCCAAATCAAGAAACAAACGATTACCATCATAGCAGCATCACCCTATATCAGATCATCGCGCTCATTTTAAGATCACCATTCCGCTCAAAATGCTGTTCTATCCACGAAAACATATCGAACGAAAACCTAATTTACGCACGGCACCACAGAAATCCACATAAATTCACTACTCCGAATCGACCAGAGGCGCACAGAATTCAAGCCAAATGCCGTTCGATCGCTCGCGACGCCGACGATTATCCACCATCACCGAACAGGAAATGGCAAAGGACGTAAACCCCTACGCTAGAATTTCCGCACACGACTCAAAGTCTCGAACTTTTTCCCCTCAAACACATCCATGCACCTTCAGGGGGAACAATGAACAGCGCAGTCATCGCAGATACTTGCGGCCGAAGCAAAGTACGCGGAGCAGTGTACGATCGAACAATCTTAGCAGCAAAGCAACGCAGCGATAAAATGCAGAGACAATCCCATAAGCGATCACAAAAGCGGGTCAGCGATCGAGTTCGGGAACTCACCATTTCGGTCCTCGCGAGCTCCCTCCCCTCCTCCTCCTCCTACTCCTCTTCCGCCGCCGCCCGGTCCTCCGCCCGCTTCCGCCGCCTCCTCTCGTCCTCCGCCCTCCTCCTCCTCCTCCTCCTCCTCCTCGACCATGAACCCCTCTCCTTCCTCCGCACCTCCGATCATCTCCTCGTCGCGACCCACGCCGCCGCCCTCCTCCTCCTCCTCCGAGACGTCCTCCCAATCGCCGTCGTCGCTGTCGTCGCCGGCGGCGGCGGGGAGCGGCGGCGGCGGCGGCATTCTCGCGGCGGGGGCACGGCGGTGGGGGGAGGAGACCTGGACGCGAAGCAAAGTTCGGAGCTTTTTCCGTGCGTGTGTTTTCTGCTGCTGCTGCTGCTGGCTGCAGAGGGAGACTTGGGAGCGATTAGTTTCGCGTTGACGCGACAGGTCAGTCGTCGCCTGTTTTGGTCTTTCTTTACACTTGCGCCCACCCCTCGGGATACTCCGAGGTTTCATTGTTTTTTATACTCATGTTTTCCACCCCAAGATTTCGAGCAAATTAGGGAAAGAGGACAAAATGGGGGAAAAATCATAAGTTCTTGACTGTTTTTTTTTTGGGGGGGGCCCTTGTATGGTAATGCCCATTCAATTCCTTGCCCTAAATTTCGAAAAAGGGGGCAGTGCAATCTCGACCGTTCATTTTCGCCGGTTACTCACTGCCCTGTCTTTTGGAGACTGATCGGGCTGTCCAGATTCTCGACTCGATCGGTACGCTGGCAGAAGCCGCTCAACGGTAATAACGGATCAACGGTAACGACAGTTCCCGTTGCGAAGTGGGTAGGTTTGAAGGCGCGCTCGGTGGTCCTCCTGGACTATAAGATTTACGTGGCGGCGATATGACTTTTCATGGTATGGTAATTGCGTCCTCTTTTTAGTAAGATAAACATCGTTATCTATATTGAGATTAGTCAATCAAAGCACGACGACTTTCTATAAAGAAGAGAAGAGGGATGATGACACAAATGGTCCCTGAATTTCGGCTCAATGTGCAATGTGATTCTTGAACTTTTAATCTGTTTAAAGTAGTCCATGGATTTTAGCCCAATATACAATATAGTCCATAAACTTTTAATTTGTTCAATGTGATCCCTAGACATTTGGTACACTTTAAATTTAGTCCCTGAATTATATGAAAATATTTGATGTTGTCCTTATCGTATAGTCCATGGACTAAATTGAACAAGTACCCAAAGTTCAGGGATCACATTGAACGAATTGAACTATTGCACATTGGGCTAAAGTTCGAGGACCACATTGAATAAATTAAAAATTCAAGGATCACATTATATATTGAGTCCAAATTCATGGATTATTTGTATTATTTTCTCTTTTTGTAATTATCCCGTAGTATATTAAGGTTGGAGGTCGGACAGTGCCGATTTGTCCTAACTGCCCGGAGGAGCACAATGAAAGGATCTGGCAAGCCATTCCCTTCTCGTGCGCACCCTCAAACCTACCTTAGATTCCATCAATTTATTGGACAATGGACAGGCCTAGGCTTACGAGTTTTAGCCTAGATACTATGATCAACCTGTTTGTGTCTACAATCCACATATAGTAAGTCATGCCATCCTCTCCCATGGTCAAGCCCACCCTGGTGGGGCTCTCTCTTGTTTTTTTTTTTTTTCTCCGAGAAGATATTTAATCTTACTAATGTAATAGCGAGTTAATTTCGATGGTTAGAAAAGTTTAAACAGTAAGATAAAAATGTGATTTAATATTTAAATATTCTAACGGTTTATAAAAAAAATGCATTGTCATACTAATAACTCGTGATATGATACATATAGCTTTATGAACAAGAGAGTTCCTATCGTGGCCATGCAATTACTAACCACCAAATTCTATAGTCGACCATTCTTTCTAGTAAATCTTCGAGATGAGAAAAAAGTTGATGATAAATTTGGGCATTTCACTCTCCATGAATGATGGGTTTCCAATGGACCTAATTATTTGGCGGGTTCAAACGGGTTCAGGTTCAGATCATTTGGGCTCGGGTCAACACAAGTTCGCTTTTATATTAAATGTATGGAGATTTCATCAATTCATATCAAAATCTATAAAAATCGGGTTGACCCTTGTTTCGAAAAATGAGTTATACCTAGTATTTATAAAGTTTTCACGAATATGTACCTATCCAAATAAAGTTAGTGAGTCGCATTAATTTAGGTTGATAATCTCTAATAGGAGCTTGTAAATGTAAGGTGACTAATGCAGGCAAGCAAAGCTTGGTAACTCAATCGAAAAGTTGATAAACTATAATATAAAAAAAAAAGAACAATTTAACATTGGTAAGTAACTCAAATGAGAGTTGAGAATCCAAAAATAATTAGTAATTTAATATGACAAAAATTGGTAAGTCACTCTAATTTAGGATCGTAGTCTCATATAAGAATTAATAAATTCAAAATGATAGTAGGTCATGTAAATAAAACATGGTAAATTAGCAAAAAAATTGTCAATTTGCAAACTATAAAAAGAAGTTGATAATTTCATAAAAGTGTTGGTGACTCACTAATAATTTACATGAAAAGAAGTCACAAGTCATTTTTTTTATCAACAATTTTTTGACATTTACCAACACTTGTTGAAATTTACCTACACAAAAAGGAAAATTATATTTTTGGGCACGGAATAATAAAATTCAGCTGAAGATAGAATGTTGCGTTCCATCATTAAAGAATTTATCTCCTAGTTAATAGGCCTCTGTATTATTAACATATATATAGTCGCTAAAAATCAAATGGGGAAATGACATAAACAATCAATGAACTATGGCCCAATGCATAATGTAATCCCTAAACTTTTAATTTGTTCAATGTGGTCCCTAGACTTTTGGTACATATTCAATTTAGGCTCTGAACTATATGAAAACGTTTAATATAATCCTTCCATTAATTCAAGTTCAAGGACTACATTAATTCATGGACTACATTGAACATGCATTAAAAGTCTATGGATTACATTGAACAAGTTAAAAGTTCAGGGACTATACTGCACATTAAGCTAAAATTTAAAGACCATAGTATACATTGGGCCAAAGTTCAAGGACTGTTTGTCAACCTTCCATGAAAATCAAATGTTGGTAAATTGAGGGAAGTAATTTGTAAATAACGGATTTTCATGTTTTGGTGATACGCATGATTTGATTGTTGAAACATTTGCTTATGGAATTCGCCCCTAGACTTTACAAACCTAGGTAGCAACTTTTAAAAAATGGCAGAACCATGATTATATATATCAACTACAAGACTCCCACGTGCATTCTCGATATGGGCTTTCAAATGATTTTGATAGTGACACTTTTATTTTAATTTTTATAGAATCTTAAAAGAGATTGCATGTTTTGTGTATATGAAAAAAGAAACAAGTAAATTTCAGCATTTACATAAGAAACTGAAGTCCAAGATTTAAATATGAAATAGGATGATGAGATCATAAGAACTCGAGTTTTGCTCAATGATTTCAAATTTGCGCCTAAATTATTTTTTCCATAAAGTATGGTGCTCAGCTAAAAATTGAGTGACGTCCCGATAATGTTGTCAAGTTGCCTTTAAACTATATATGTCGTCGTCATCTTCATCCACCCTATCGCATTACGGATCATGCCTTCTACTACAATTCATTCCGGTGGCGGAAACACCACTCGGCTACTAACTCTAGACGCACTGCTGCTACCATGGCTCCAACCCTAGCGCCGCTACACTCACTATCACCACTGACATAAGGAACACTATCGGCAATGGCCAAACTCCACCATCACCAAACCACACTGCGACCAACACCGCGACAAGGGTGATAGAGATAGCAACGCCACCAGCGGTGATAGGCGGCAACAAGGGCGTCATAGCACTGGCGCGGGAAATGAAGAGGGATGAAGAAAATAGAAGATGGCCCACAAAATAAAAGGAAGTTTGTCATTTATTTAAAATTGAGCTGACACTTATAATTAATCAAATAAAATTCGAGTATTGAATTGAATATCTAGCAAAAATTTGGATAATTCCGAAGCTCAAGCTCAAGGGCTCGACATCTCCGACGACACCTCCATGTCTTCTCTTTGTCGCGGCTGTCACTTGTGAAGGTCGTCGGCCTCAAATCTACTGTTAGGGTGCAATGCAAAGAGGAAGAGAGACAGCCATTGGCAGATAATGATCATAGGATTCGTAAGTCCCATAGTCAATTTGGCTAAAGATAAAAGAGAGAAACGGGAATCGATGATGTCTGAGCGATGTTGCAGCAGTTTTTGACCCGCACGACCTGAAGATGAAGTGGGTTAGGGCTTCGATCGATGATCTTTTGCTAACTTCATTTCCCCGACCGACGATTTATGTTAGATTAATGTCACGTCGGTTTTTCCGACGAAGGGAAATTCCCGACTTTGCCGAAGTGAACATTTATTAAAAATATATAGCGTTTAAGTGACCAATTAATAAGTTACGATATTAGAATAAGTGATGTACGAGAATTTTATCACGCGATGCCATTGTCTCTAGATATAAGTGTAACATCCAAATGAAAGGATAAGGGAGAAAGAAAGGTCCGCAATTTTCTTAAAGTAATCATAACAACCTCGAAATTGTAAATGACAGAACAATGCCTACCAAAACCGAGCTTTTACGCATGACCTAAATGCACGACGGCCATAATTAATGCTTTGCTGTATTATGCGCGAAATGAACCCGAATTTTCAAAAATTATGCACGAAGGATCTTCGGGCAGTGACTTTAGTGCCAACAAATTCTATCATATGAATTCCTATGAAAAGATTTTGAAAACAAAAATCTCCTGATCTCTGTTTTTCTTTTGGTGAATACGTGAAAATATCTCCGGTATTTTTTTTGGAGACTTACTCGGGTTAAATTCTTTTTTTCTTGTAAGTTCCTCTATTTTCGAGTTTTTAAGTTTCGAGTTGATGAATGGTCTGTCTTTCTTATCGTGTGATTCATCTTCCGATACTTTAAATCTCCTTCCGATAATAAGACCGACTCTTTCATGGTTTTTACTAACTACATTTATTTTTCATCTTGACAAAGAAAATCCTTTCCTTGCTTTGCAATGTGCATCTTTAGCTTCTCCTTAAAGCGCACACAATTCGAGCAATGAGAGTGCGTGGCTTGTAAAAGAAACTTTCTACTTCCATAAAGGGAAAAAAATAAAAGGGCATACAGGCCCCTGAACTTTTTCAAATTGGTCATTGGATTCTTATCTTTCTTTTTGGTATAATCAGGTTTATAAACTACATGCTTTATTGTTTAAGTTGGTCATACCGTCAAAATTATGGACGGAAATACTAACGTGGATGTTAAGTCGTTGTTAAATGCTAATGTGGCGTCACACGTGACTTTTTAAATATATAAAATATATATATAAAACTTGGAAGAGCGGAAAAAAAAATCAGGCCCGGGTCGAGGTGGGTGACCCCAACCAAGCCTCACGAGGGGTCACGTGATCCCTAACCACGCTTGGCAATTGGGGTTGTGCAACCCAAAATGCACCTAACCGGGGCCGCATGACTTGTTTCTTTCTCCTTCTCTTAGGTTTTGTATTCTTTTTTAATCTGCTGATACTTTATCTAGTCAACACCTAAAAATTGCATGAAAGCACCATTTTTATCCGGCTAGCAGTGACGTGGCACTTACGTGCCGGTCCACGTCGGCATTTCCGTTTTTGTTTTAACAGAAGGACCAACTCGAATAAGAGAACAAAAACATTTACTTTAAGGAACCAATTGCCAAAAAAAAAATAATTCAAAGACCTGATTGAACAAATTTGAAAATTTTCATCATGAGAATCTAGATAAAGTTACTGACACGTGAATTTTCTATGACCAAGTCTTACTTATACTTGTTTGCTTGTATAGCTGATTTTTTTTTTTCGTCACCATGTTTACAGTATATGTCAAGTCATTTTTCCAACTTTTGAAACAAATTTCAAGACAAAAGCGTATGTATCCATGTACAAATTTCAATCGTCCCGTGCATATGCACGAGTTAGATCCTAGTGTATTTTCGAACACTTTTTTTATAAAAAAAAAGGGTTAATACCACGAAAAATTCTAAACTGGTACACTTGTGATACATTTACCCAAAACTATTTTTTTTTACCATAAAAAACCCCAAACTGGTGCATTTGTGACAATTTTACCCTGAATTACATATAGATAATTTTACCATGAATTAAAATTAAAATTTTATTTTTTTTTTTTTTTCGAATTTTTATTTATTTTTTATTCTTTTCTTATCTTTTTTTTTTCATCTTCAACCTCTGGCGGGTCGCCGGTCCGGCGATAGTCCAGAGGCGGAAGCCGGCGAGGGCGACCCTCATCGGTATCGGGCGAGGGTTGCCCTCGCCGAATCTGGCGAGGGCGAACCTCGCCTACGTCGAGCGAGCCTCGCCGGCGTCGGGCGAGGGCCGCCCTCGCCGGCATCGGGCGAGGGCCGTCCTCACCCGCCCAGGGCAAGGGCGACCCTCACCTGACTCAGGCGAGGGCGCCCTCGCCCAACTCAAGCGAGGGCAGATCCGGGGAGGGCGACCCTCGCCGGTATCGAGCGAGGGCTGCCCTCGCCGGATTTGGCGAGGGCGACCCTCGCCTACCTCGGGCGAGGGGCCGCCCTCGCTCACCGCAGGGCACAGGGCGGCCCTCGCCCGACGCAGCGAGGGTCACCCAACGCCGGCAAGGGTGGCCCTTGCCGGCTTCCGCCTCTGGCCGGTCGCCGGATCGGCGACCGGCTAGAAGTTGAAGGTGAAGGAAAAGAAAAGAAAAGAAAAAATTCAAAAAAATAATATGAAAAATTAGTTCGGGGTAAAATTATCACATGTGTATCAGTTTGGGATTTTTTGTGATATGTTCAGGGTAAAATTGTCACAGGTGTACCAGTTTGGGTTTTTTATGGTCAAAAAAATAATTTGGGGTATATGTGTCACAAATATATCAGTTTAGAATTTTTTGTGGTATTAATTCTAAAAAAAATTTCATTTTTGGGGTGTCACATCAAATGCCCTCCTCCATCTTCTCTTTGAATAAACGGTGCATGTATGAGTAGCTGTCTTTTCATTTGTCAAGCAAGATGTAGACACATCTCTTTCTACTAAACCCGGTGTGTGAGCTAGTAACTGTAAACTATAAACTATAGTACTACTCTTGTAAGAAAATTGACCGTTCACAGTTCACACAGTTCACAGGCAACGCAAGTCCAATCATAAAGACATTCTCACACACACACACTCTCTCTCTCTCTCCCTGTCTCTCTCACTCTCTCTCTCTCCAAGATCGAGATGGAATGTGCGTGACAATGTCGTAGTACCATCAGTACTACCGAGCGACGCAGGCGCAACACGGGGGGGCGGGCCGCAATGTCGTCGAGGGACCTTCTCCTCCTCCTCCTCTCGTCGCTCCTCACTCTCCTGTTGTCTATCCCCGCTTCGTTCGCTCGACACGGTGAGCTCTCGCTTTGCAATTCTCTCTAGGGTCTCTCGCGTTTGACGGTGGTTGGTCGAGAGGCTTGGAATTTGTGGGTGAGGAGTGGATTTCGGAGTGGAGGGTGGGAGTTCGATTTGGTGGAGTCCGTGCTTAGCTTGAGTGCTGACTCGGGTTTTGTCTTCTTTTTGTTTGGTTTTTTGGTTATTTGTGATGTTTGGGAGCTTAATCCGGGATAATTTGTTTGGTTTCGAGTTCCGGGTAGTTGTCAAATTCGCTCGAGGATTCGCATTGGGTTTGGTTTGAATGGTCATGAGCAGTTAAGTTGTGATGATTCAGCTGCCTTAGCTGGGCTGAAGAGTGAGAGGAGTTGCTGTTGGATCTGCGAGGTTGCTGAGAATGGAAACTCGCACAGGAACTCTGGAAACTTGATTGTCTGTTTTAGTTATGACGGTGACATGCATGCTTCCCAATTTAAACCATTAGTGAGCGGCTGTAAGACAGTGAAGCATTGACCTTGCTGCAAAATATTCTATTAGGTGTTCATGTAAGGTGTGGTTGCAAATGAAGATCCCATGTCGAATAACTAAGAGATAAGGAGCAATCCTTATATCCAATTAGTTCATAACTTAATGCCTTTATATTTTTGAGTGAATTGGATCCAACTATGTATTATTGGGATAAATTATCAATGATTTTATGAGTAGACACAACCAAAAAATATTACGAAATAAAAACAAGCAGACAAAAGTAAAATGTCACAAGACTAGACGGTATCAGAGCAAGCCGACCAAGACCAACTATGTATGATAATGGGCTCGAACTGACATTCCCTCGTGTCCTTCCAACACGAGATATTTGATTTTCTCCTTTGTTTCCAAATTATCTGGATCTTGATTTCAAAACAAACAGCATGTTTGCCTTTTCATTCACTCCAGGCAGTGAGAAACTTAAAGGCATCCTGATAAATTCTGTAGCAACACCTTAACAAGTCACGGATGCATGTTGGAATTTAGATATTGGTTAGAAAAAGAAGTAAACAAAGATGTACAGTCATTAGAATGATAGAGCAGAGATGTGAGATGTTCAGTTTTTTCTTTTTACAATTAAGCATTTGTGCTCTGTATAGGAAAGCCATTTCTCTTACTGGCTTTCTCTGACTCTTTCCCGTCCAATTGTTTGAATCAATATCTAAGTTGTATTCTTTTGCTGCAGCACCTTTTGCTATGCGCATAAGCTGTGGAGCTCGTCAGAATGTCCATACTCCACCAACCAATACACTTTGGTTCAAAGATTTTGCTTATTCCGGAGGAATTCCAACTAATGCAACACGTACAAGTATCATCAGCCCTCCTCTTAAGACAATTCGTTATTTTCCTCTCTCTGAAGGTCCTGAAAACTGCTATATATTCAATAGAGTGCCGAAGGGACGCTACTCTGTGAGGATTTTCTTTGGATTGGTTGCACATCCCAACTTCGATGACGAACCCCTATTTGACATTTCAATTGAAGGCACTTTGATTTCTTCTCTGAAACCAGGTTGGATCAGCCAGGATGAGCAAGCATTTGCTGAAGGCATCGTGTTTCTTACAGATGGTTCTGCCTCTTTATGCTTCCACAGCACTGGTCACGGAGATCCCGCTATTCTCTCCATTGAAATTCTTCAAGTAGATGAGAATGCATATAAGTATGAATCTGACCAGGGCCACGGGATGATCCTTAGAACAGCCACAAGACTAAGCTGTGGTACTGGGAAACCAAAATTTGATGAGGATTACAGTGGTGATCATTGGGGTGGGGACAGATTTTGGAGGCCCATTTCGACTTTTAGAGTGGGCTCTGACAAAGAGATATCTACTGAAAGCAGCATCACACAGGCCTCCATTGCGCCAAACTTTTATCCGGAAGCACTTTATCAGTCGGCGCTCGTTGGAACTGATAAGCAACCAGAGTTGGAGTACATTATGGATGTGGATCCTAACAGGAACTATTCAGTCTGGTTACATTTTGCAGAGATTGATTCTTCCATTACAGGCGCAGGGCAGCGAGTGTTCAATATCTTGATAAATGGCGACTCTAAATTTGAAGATGTGGACATCATTAAAATGAGCGGGGATCGACATGTTGCTCTGGTGCTAAACACAACTGTTGCTGTGAATGGTAGGACCTTGACGGTGACCGTGCAACCTAAAAAGGGAAAAGCTATCATCAATGCTGTTGAGGTCTTTGAAATTATCACAGCTGAGTCTAAAACTTTAGCAGATGAAGGTGCGCAAATACTTTGCCAATGTGGATTTTAAGTTTGTTTCAGCTATGACTGTTCTCTATTGACATTGCTACGTAGATATGTCGGTACATGTCATTCTGGCCGATTTCATTTATGCAGGTTAATTTTGAGTTTCTCTGCAAGCCACAATGCAGTTAGTCATAGCTTAAAGTGTCATGCTTAAGTATGCTTCTAGCAGTATTAGGCTTTGAAGATAAAATGCATAGCTGTTTGCTGCTTGTTTGGCTGTATGGTGCATTAGGCATTGAAGCCATCTGTACAAAAGTATCACTCTACTTATAGCAGGATTCATTTTATTTTCTGGCCATACTTATTATAAGAAAAGGAGATAATGAAGGAAAGAATGTAAATCTTATCATGTCAATCTGTAGCCCATGCGCAGGAGAGATAGCATGAAATTTATTATGAAGCGAGGAGTTACAAGAACCATCTCTCAAACATGAATGGCCATCTCTCACTGTTTTGTGGTGTTATCACCAAGAGAAACCTTGGCTCCTGATTGAATTATGCATTAAAAAGGTCCAGTCAGTGCTATGCCTTGAATCCCTTAGCTCCACTTCAATCTGTACTTGTGTCTCAAAGGGGACCTTTCTTTCTTACATTCCTGCTATTTTCTGCTTTGAAAATCTGTATTGGGTATCTGGCTACTATTTAAAGCAGTTGCTTTTTGTCCAAAGAAAAAAAAACTCAAGGGTTCTTTCTTTTGGCTCTTAGATATAATTTGAAGGAAGATATCAAATGGGGGGGGGGGGGGGACAACTTGGGAAGGCCAAGTTGAACGGGAAAAAAAATACTTTCAAATGGAATAGGCTAATAAGATAAAGAAACCTTGTGGTATTCAGTGGAAAAATTCTGTGGAAGTGCAACACTGTGAGCCCCTCAATCTTTTGAGATATAGACTTACCCTTTATTCTGAACAAACTTGAGCCTCAGTTCTAATCTAAAATTGTCATAATGATTGTTTGAACCGCATTTTAATATTCGTGGTGAACACTTTAAAAGAAAAAGGAAACTATTGTCTATGTATAGTCAAGTTAGATGAATCCATATATGTTGACTTTGACTCATTTAAATTGTACACTATGTTAGTCTAATAAATAGAGATGAAATTTGGCAAGAATAGCTTCAGATTATTTTATGGGACCTTGGGATGTAATGATTTCAGGAAGGTTTTTTGGTGGGCCATGGCGTCCATTGCATCCACCACCAGTCTCTAGTGATGGAATAGCAAAGCAAATCGGAACATGCCCTTTGTTAAGTTGTATTTTTTTTCAGCTCAAAGGTTTTTCTTTTTAAGTTTATTTAGCAATATTTTACATCTTTAAAGTGCCAATCAAAGAAAGCCACACATAATGAAGAAATTCAGGCACTGCTGAATCAGAGGAAAAATCAGATACTCGTATTGTGCTTTTCTTGAGCTGTTTTATTGTGTGTCACACAAAAGTTTGAGCTAGCTTGTGGATGGATTCCAGCATAGAAACTTTAGAACTGATTTCTTGATGAATTCTGATGGAACCTCAACTTGGTAGTTTCCCGAGTTTTAAATTATAGTTTTTGTCGATTATATATTATTTGCGACTTGGAATACATTTTGGTTGATGTTAACTTAATCATCCTTCTGCATACTAGTTAGGGCTTTACAGACACTAAAGACTTCACTAGCACTCCCCCGTCGATTTGGGTGGAATGGTGACCCATGTATCCCTCAACAACATCCATGGAGCGGAGCTGACTGCCAATTTAATCAGACAAAAGGCAAATGGGTCATTGATGGACTGTAATGCCCTAATCTTCTCCTCTTTGCACTCTAAAATGTCTTCTGTTACAGTTGTACTTTTGTTGTTGCACAATAGTAATTGTGTTTGATGTTTCGAACAGTCTGGCTTAGTTTCATAAATGTCGATGAAAAAGCTTAATGTGTCATGAATTTATCCAAATTGTAAGTCTGAGAGGCTTTCGGTTCAAAGTAGTTAATGCTCATAATCCCTATGAATGGTGACAATGACATTGTGTTCTCCCTTTGAATAGTAATGCTATATTTCAATTCATCTGAATCCCATTAATGCATGCGCACAAAGAATCCATGTGGAATTTCAACATTTTTAACCGATTAGCACTCAGATAGTGGCCTTTCTTTCATTTAATGTGATGATGTGGCCATTCTCATGCCAGGGCTAGAAAAGCTTCAACCTTCTAATCTTATAACTTCTTGCTGATTGTTCATTCAATAAAGTCCACAAGTTTACTGCAGGTTTCTTTGCTGCTGTCTATGGATACGTTGCCTTCTTGTATCTTTCCTTAATCTTGGGATGGATCATGTCCCCATCCTGGCTATAAGTGCCCTCCCCAATCCATACCTTCCGTCCTTCCCTTGCCAACTGTTTGATCTTGTCCAGGCCCCTCATTGTCCTCAGTCACCGGTACCGTAGCTGGAATTTTATGTCACTTTTGGAAGCAGTGAACAGCTTCACTGTCTTGCCATTTCTTGTTCTGGCTGTTGACTACAGCAACTCAAAACATGTGTTAGTGTAACCACATTCTCTTTATGACTCGCCTCTCATAGAGTGGTATACTTTATCCCATTCCATCTAATTGTTTGCGAACTTCCGAGTATCATAGCCATCTCCTTTTCCTGCAAAAACTGTCTTTGTAAATCCTGGACCAGGCTTTTTTTTTTTGTTTTTGGTAAGGATCCTGGACCAGGCTTTGCAGACGATTAAGTCATAAGCTCAACTTTAAGAAGGCTAATGAGACTCTTATGGGAGCTGGCTCTCTGAAAATCATCAGATATTTTATGAGGCAAAGTGCACAGCATTTAGGCTTTTTATAGGTGATGGAGAATTGTTGAATTGGCATTTTCTGTGTCACGCTGAAAAGTGAGAATAAACTTCCACCTGTTGAACATGCCATTGACCCTTTGACCGAAAAAAAAAGAAAAAGAACATGCCATTGCCCCATGCATCGGTCTTAAATCGTACATAAAATCCATCTGTTTCGGGGTAATGATGGACCAGAAGTCAGCCTACCTTCAGTTTTCTATTTGATGGGGAGTGACACTCTGTGAGATAACCAAAAAGATCAGTGAATGAGGATTTGGAATATGATATAGGATAATTTCGAGAGAATTGAGCCTTGTCCAACACTTATCGCAAAATTGCTTACAGAATAAGTTCATTTACACTAGCAGAATTTTAAGTGTCACTTTGTTCAGATATTTCAGAGGGCCTTCGTGCTTCAGTATGGTCATATAAGTTAAGGTTGGAAAACCCTATGTGTCTAGTTTCGAATTTATCCAATTTCAAGCAATTTGGAGTCTTCTAGAGGAAGTTATGCCCAAATACCAACAGCTGGTCAGGAAATCCGAGAATGAGTCTTTTAGTATATCTTTGTATATTGAGTATTATGCATTGTATCTGTTTCTAGAGTCATTTGTGTCAAGAGTCAATGATCTTATTTACATATTGTCTAGGGATTGGTGGTCTTTGTCTAGGGAAAGAAAGGCTAGTGTCTTGGGATTTGCCTATACTTGGAAGGTTGTTCCAAGCTGTGTTTACATAAAACCCTCTATGGTTCCTTAAGGATAAGTTAGTGTTTTGAGGAATTGTTGGAATTGAGCTCTTGGATTAAAGTTTAACCTCAACTGGGCATCTCATTGGTTAGCATCTAGTTTAGCGTATGCCCTGCCTGAGGTGGATTCCTTCGGTCCTGAGCATTTTTCTTGTTGCACTAATGTTACATTCTAAATCTTCAACCCTTCCCTTATCAGAGTCACTTGGAAAGTTATTAACTGTGGATATAAGCTCTAATTGCTTAATTGTGCACTTTCATGTAGTTAGAAGATTTTTTTCTACTGTACAGCATTGACCTTGAGGTTAGTATAATCCCTGATGCAATTCTTGATTCACCTCCTGTATTTCTCAGTGGTCTTGGCAACCAGGGTCTGAGGGGATTCTTGCCAAAAGAGATATCTAGACTGACTCATCTGCAAAGCATGTGAGTTTTAGCATACTGTCTTCAAGAGTTCCTTTTCAGCATATTCAGCAGCTAGATTGTGTTGTAAATAACTTTTATTCTTTTTCTTTTGCGGTCATTTGTTAGGTTTAATTTGCTAAGTAGAAATTCAGGCTGGACAGCCGTGATATCTCTTTTTTCTTTCTTTTTTTCTTTTCTCTCAATCAGAAACTTGAGCGGAAACAGCATTCGGGGGCATATACCATCCTCTCTAGGGACCATATCTGGCTTGCAAATTCTGTAAGTAATAATCGCTATCATGTGTGCCTTGTTTATACTTTTAAATGTTCTCTCCCTCTGAAGGACACAGGCAATTCCAACGTCCTTGTTTCATTTCTTGTGCGACTAATTCTTCCCAAGCCATATGCTCTTATCCTTATATTGGCTTTGCACCATTTTATTTTTCCAAAAAGAGAAAAAAGATCTCTAGATCATTCAGTTACTTTGCCACTTGCAGACGTTAACTTTCAGGTTTACTCCAATTTCTTTGTCTCCTTAGATCTTTATGTATGCTCTTCTTTGGTGCTGCGGTAAGCTTGTTTTGGTCCAAGTATGGTCATTTCGCTTTTTAACCATGTGGGAAGATATCACACTTATTTCTGCTAGTGAAGCTCATTCCCCATGATGCCGACCTTGTCCAGATAAGTTGAAAGAGACTGTAGATGCAATTCTGAGTCTTTGAAAATGCTGAGAGCCCTAATTTCCTTCTTCTCTTTTATTTTGTCTTTTCCTTGGGTATATGTTGAGGGATGGGGGTCTTATCACATTGTAAGACAACTTATATGTTAAGTCAAATATTTTTTGGACACGAAAATTTATTCTCCTGAAATTCAGCTCATTTGGTCCTTATCCCCTTGATCGACGTCAAGAACGACCAAGTGCTGCTAAGCGTTATTGACAAAAGAAGCCACTAATATATTGTTTAGGACACCGCAATATATAGATTAAGAAGACGAAGCTGCCTTGTCATGCTCCTTTATCTTTGATGTTCTTGGGCCTCAGTAGTACTAGTATCTTCACAAAGACAAAACTTCAGTGGTTTTTCTTATAGATTTCATCGATTTGGTAAATCCGTTAATTAATCGATTTTGATAGAAAAAGAAATTCATGAACTGTCATCTTTTGATTGAAACTTCTCATGGTCGATGCTGAAATCACGGTGACAAGTTTCTTTCTTTAACTCTTGATGGAGAAACACCATTTTTGCTCCTGATTAATGATTTGTGATCCATCCATGGTAGTATATTATCCTAGTGTGCTGTAGTGTTTTGTTGCAGTGATTATCTTCATACGCAAAACAGTAGTAATCACAGTTTGAAGACTCTCTATATTTTATACTCTACAAAAATAGCAAGCCAAGCAAGATGTACAAACAAATTTAACTAAGAAAAGTTCAAAGTAATTCTTAAAAATAGAGACATTGTAATAGATATTATCTATTTATGAATAATTAAACACTCTGTAAGTGTGATTGCAAAGTCTCGAATAAAATGTCATTAACCTTCTGAGGTTGAATAACAGCGAAAATGCGGGTCCACTCAATTAATGTCACTTCAATAGTCCGAGATTATTTAAATGGCTATTTTGTGACATGCATTACTAGACATCCAACTTGCATTTCTTGATGGTGAAGTATATTGAGATTTAGTACTTACTTTAAGAACCAAAAAGAGGAAAGTTTAAATGATTGCCATGGGAGGACTGGCTCTTCCAAAAGCAATGCATTAGCTTGACCACTCTAACCTCCCTGCTATTGTGTTTTCCAATACGACAATATTATTCAGAGGATAGTGTCCACATCGTTAAAGAGCCTGCCAGAATAGTTATGGAAATCAACACCCAACATGATACTAAAAGTTCAAAATTTTACAGGTCTTAGTTTATTTATGCTCATAGGTTTCTATCCTTTCCTTTACATCTTTCAGTTTTGTGGGTAAAAATGAAAGAAGAAAAAACATTTATATGTCGTATAAGATTGGCAAGCAAGGAGATTGATATTTTTGTATATTCATGCTCCCAACGACTTGAGACCTAACGATTTTCTGAAGTATGAAAGCATGTACTCGTGTTTTAACTCTTTCGTCACATCCTCCACATAATTTATGTTTCCACCCGTTTGCAGCTCGTCTTCCATGTTGTCTTGACCTCTATTTTCTGTCTTCATCTTTATGAGGTTTTGACTTAATGCAGTTCCATCGAGTTTCTATGTTGGAGGTACCCCTCCAAAGTGTTCTACCTATAATCCTCTCATCTTCTCTATCCAAGAAAATAGTTAAAATATTCAAACTGTTGCATCTGTTGCCATATCTAACTTCTGGGTCTGTTAGCATGGCGTCTTCAATATATCCATTTGAAAGCTGATAATTTAAGCAATAGAATGATATAAATTAGGAATTGAGTGGTTTGGAAAATCACAAGAAACTCATTTAGGCACACATGGCGTTACCAAGGAAGCTGAAATATGTGTTGGCATCATTGCATTTACATCGAGATAGTCATTTGCCGAGTTATGAACTGTAGTTTGCCTTATGTAGTGGACTGTACAACACCCATGCAATTCTTGTTTAGAAAATTTCTCTGAGAAAGGGATGTAAAAAACAGAGTAATCCTGTGACCTGATTAGTCTTTGCAAATGGTGACTTTGATGGTGAGATACTTTAAACTTCAAAACATGCCTATGGAGTTTCGTTCTGTCTGGTAAAACGAAGGAACTAGTCAACAAAACATGTAATCTGGTCATAATAGTAAATATTCATGGTCTTGGACTATGACGGCAGTAACACAATATGCAAAATAATTGATAACTGTTTTTTCGTCTTAAAATTGTGGGCGAATATTTGCAAATTATTTCCCCTTGCTCTGTAAGGTGTGGTTTTATTGTATGAGTGATTTTCTCTGACAAACCCCTTCAAAATTTGCAAGTTTGACTTTTGGACTGTATTTCTAGTCTATGGGCATAAAAACCTGGTTTTTAATTCCCACGTCTTTAAAGATAAGTGGCTTTTAGCTCTTAGTTTTGAGGGTCACAGTTATCTCATGGACGTAATGCTAAGAGATCCTGCTCCATTGCAGGGACCTCTCTTACAATTTTCTCAATGGATCAATTCCTGAGAGCCTTGGACAGTTGACATCACTGAAAAGACTGTAAGATCATATAAACTTTTGAACACCACGAGTTCGAGTACAGAACAAGACTTTCATCAACATCTACATTGTGCAGGAATGTCAATGGGAACTCGTTATCTGGAAGAGTCCCCGCAACTCTAGGGGGAAGGCTTCTGCATAGAGCCAGTTTCAAGTATGTAATAAATGGCATTGTTCGAAGTTTGCAGGAGGTTTCAAATTTCTCTTGCTTTTGTTAACCGCAATGTTCTAACTTGTTTCGTGATGGATGCGTGCAGTTTTACAGATAATGATGGCCTTTGCGGTATACCCGGACTTCCTACATGCCGGCCTCATCTTTCAGCTGGTGGCAAGGTTGGAATTGCCGTAGGCGCTGTGCTGGCATTGTTTCTCCTTGTTATGTTGTCAATAATCTTTTGGAAAAGGCGGCAAAATATTATTCGTGCACAGCAGATTGCAGGTAACACCATTGCAAAGCCATATTAATCTAGCGACAGAACCCACGTCTAGACGTATGGGGAGTTTCTATTCTTACCCAGCATGTCATACGGCATAGTCTTTTCACATAGAAAAAGGAAAATTCTGGATGAAGAAGAAACTCTTTTAGTAGCTCCTCTTCATGATAGTGAGTTGAGTGGAAAGCAGCAAAACATCACATCGACCTGCCAATTTAGAGTGCTTGGATCGATTGTACAAGTCATCGACTCATAATCGCTAAATTTCTGTAATTTGCGCAGCAAGAGAGGCTCCCTATGCGAAAGCAAGAACCCAGTTTGCTCGTGACATCCAATTGTCCAGACACAATTGCCAAGGCCAAGCCCGGCTCGCTGCCGAGAACGGGCCTAGCTTGCTCTCATGACAGGACCAACTTCTCCGTCAGGTTTTCCCTTTCCCCCCCTTACGGCTTCTTTCGGAAAGCCTCAGAAATGTCATAGAAAGATCGAATGTCTTCGTCACTGTTGATATCGTGTTGTAACGAACCGACTGTACATTATTACCGCCGTCTCTGTAACTCACATACTTTCGAAAGTAGGGTTCCAAAGGTGTTCAGTAATTCAGGGTTTAAGTCATCAGGATTTGGCACAGTTGCTTTAGGATGATGGGAGGCACAACCCCTGGATTTCCTCGTGTCATCGTGCGTGACATGTATGCATGTAATACTGGAAACGAGGTATAATTGAACTGCTTGCCAGACCTTGAAAGCTAGCTGTACTTTGCTGAAGGATTCTAGACCTGCATAGTCATGCGACTTTCAGTTGTATTTGGTGAGTAGGATACAGACGCTGCGCCTAGATTATGATAAAAAATTATTCTATCCGACTTTCAGATCGTGATCCTTCAATTGAAATATATCTGGATTAATCTGGATTAGTTCGGATTAAATTCACCACGAGATCATTCTAGTACGAAGTAGGGGGAGAAGTCGAGGAAAGAGAGCGTTGTCAATGGTGATCATCCGAATCCTGAGGATTGTGACCATACGCGATGGTCGGCACCTTGGACTTGACGATTGTGGACGCGGTGGTCGTCACTGAGTCTGAGGGTAGCGATCACCGGGATGCGGTTGCCGTCTTGATCTCGTGATCAAGCCGTCTCGATCCCGGACGTCTTTTTAGGGTTCTTCTAGCAAAGAGCTATCGAATATTACTTTCGATCCTATTCCGAGGATAGCGACCATCACACGTCAGCACCTGGATTTGACGGCCATTGACACGATGGTCGTCGCTCGGGTCTGAAGGGTGGTGTTTAATCGGGATGCGGTTGCCATATTGATCTCACGGTCGCGCCCTCTCGATCCTAGACGTCTCTTTAGGGTTCTTCTAACGAAGGGGCTATCGAATGTTACGTTTCGATCCTGCTCCGATCGAAGCGCGCCAAACACTTGATAGGACAGCCATTTTCCAAACAAAAGATGGAAAGATAACGTTACAATTAATCTCGGACGAGACACGGACGCAAATCTGCACTGCCAGGAAGTTTAACAACGATTGCTGAGACTTCAATGACAATCTTTGACAGCAATGTCTTTTCTTTTTTGGTGAAAGCTCCACCAAAGATGGTATTAATGACGTCATAAACTTTCCTCTTGTGACGTCAATTCTTGGGGAAAGCCCACCACCATTGATTTTGGGATTTGATTCTGTCGTTTTTTTTTATATTATTTTTTGTTTTTATTTTATTTTGAATTGGTGGGTTTTTTTTTTTGTCTGCCATAACTGTAGCTTTTATTTCATTGCTTTCCGTGCTTCGCCCATTTCTCCAGTATTTACTATGCCTGATGGCAACTGCACGAAATAATGCAATGGCCAGCATTATTTTGATGGCCCCCCCTGCCCATTTATGTGTCCAATTATTTCCTTTTTATCATATCTAATTGTAAAATGCAATATTTTAATTCGATTAAAGGCGTCGCTCTCTGGGTACGGATCATGTAGTATAAATTAATAAGTGGAAGGAGAGCACATGTATGAGAAAGAACATATAAACTCTCCGTAAACGGATGATGCGAGATATTTTCAGCGCCTGCTCTCGCGCGTGAGAATACCCTATTAGAAAAGTCTAACCGAAAAATATATCTGAAATCTCACGAGCGAAGTGTAGGATTGCGAAACTAAATGGTTTTGAAAATGTAGGTCTTGTGTCGAGACAGTGAAAAATATATCTGTAAGAAAAGTCGAGGATGGCCCTTAGGTATTTATTTTTCGATTTGATTGTTCTCATTTAAGCTTCAAAAGTGATAGCGAGCCCTTAACCTATGGATTTTTTTTATTGCCGCGACTTGATCTTTCGAGGTTGGAATGTGGCTGAATTTGTTGAATTAAAAGTTTAGCGGGTTCAGGCTCGAAACCTGCGTATCGAGCCGAGGCGGTCCGAGCCCAAGAAGGAAATGTCATGCCCTAGGCTCGCTAATAAAACACGAATCGGGTGCATTCAGGACTCAATCGAAGCCGCTACATCTGAGAGTCTCCTCTTGGGAAAACGAAAGCTCACACAAATCAGGCACGCCCTCCCAAAAGAGGGCTCCCTCTATTTCCAATCTTGGGTCTCAAGGAAAACGAAAGGAACCCAAAAGGAGAAAATAAATAATTAAAAATAAAAAAATTAATAAAAGGAATTCTTTCTTCGGTTCGAGAAAAAAAGGAATAGGAAAAAGAATATAATAAATAGGGATAATGACACAAATAGTCCCTGAACTTTGGCTTAATGTGCAATTTGGTCCATAAACTTTTAATTTGTTCAATGTAGTCCCTGAACTTTAACCCAATGTTCAATTTGGTCCATGAATTTTTGATTTGTTCAATGTGGTCCCTGAACTTTTAATATGTGTTCAATTTAGTCCCTGAACTCTATGAAAATGTCCAATATAGTCCCTGACTATATTGAACATTTTCAAATAGTTCAGGGACTAAATTGAACACATATTAAAAGTTCAGGGACCACATTGAACAAATCAAAAATTCAGGGACCAAATTGAACATTAAGTTAAAGTTCATGGACTACATTGAACAAATTAAAAGTTCAGGGACCAAATTGCATATTAAGTCAAAGTTCAGAGACTATTTGTGTCGTTATCCCTAATAAATATTCCTTTTTCACGTGAACATCAAACATTGAAGAAAGGGGGTTCTGCCGCTCACCCACCACCACACTCCACCAGAGAAAAAAGGTCAGACAGACTCTCCCTCTCTCTCCCTCTCTCTCTCTCAGCAGCAGCAAAACTTGTACCATCTTCCCTTCCTTCCTTTCCCTTCATCTCCTCCTTCCTTCTTTAAAATCTTTTGCCTTTCTTTCCCCCCCACTCGTGTGGACCACTCTCTCTTTCTCTCTATCTGTCTGTCTGTGGCGTCTTCTGGGAGTCCAGCTCTCTGATCAAGCCCAGTCAAACACGCCAGCCTTTAAATTCCCCCCCTTTTACCCGTCTCTGCAATGCGGCCAAAGGAGCATGAATCGATGTCTGTCTTTGCTTGGTTTGCACACCTCAGTTCAGTGTTCAGTGGCAGATGGGCTTTTTTAATGTGCGTTGTGCACGGTGGCTCCGGACCAATCGCGTGCGCGTGAATGCACGAATGCAAGAGCCTCGTTCTGTTTCTTCTTTTCTTCTTTCTTTCTTTCTCTGCTGAGAAAAGACAGCTTGATTACGAAGATCGATCTAAAGAAGTATTCGAGCTCGATGTGTCAATTAATTCAGTTGAATTCACGTTCGCTTCGGAATCTAATCCATCGAGACATGGGTCGATCAGGATATGAAGTGTGCTCCACGTCGCACCACGAATTACATAACAAGTAAGAAATTTAGTGGTGATATTTATGTTCAAGACGAAACGAGTTCCATCCTCTCTTTTCAATTTGTTTCATTTGCATTTAAAAATTGTTGCCCCGTGATTTGGAGCGTATTATTTATTATTCAATCATTTAATGAATTGGACATTGGCCAAAAGAATTTACTTGGGCGGTGAATTTTCCAATTGTGAGCCTAACTGAAGGGTTAATAACAAAACGACGATGAATTACGAGTAGGGGTGAACGGTTCGGTCCGGTCCGGTTCCAAGGTGGAACCGGGAACCGGACCGAGAGAACCGGTTCCCAATTTTGGGAACCGCGGACCGGACCGGTTGGTTTAGGACCGGGAACTAGTTACTTAGAGTTTAGGGTTTTTTTTTGTCAAACACTTAAGGTTTAGTTCACATTTTACTAATTTTTGTCAATAAATTTATGTCAATGAAGTTCACTTAGAGTTTAATTCACATTTTACTATTTTTTATCAATGAATTTATGATAATGAAGTTCACTTAGAGTTTAGTTCACATTTTATTATTTTTTAAAGAAAATAATCGAACTAGGACATTCTCTCGGGGTCACCTCGAAAGCGCGAACCCTTATGTCTCCGGTAATTATTGAAAGTATTTGAGGCAAGAGACTGCCATACTCGATAAAAATTAGTTAGGTGTTCGAAGAGTTTCGGGCATCCATTGATATAAAAAGAGAGAAACTATTGGAACAACCGAATTTTAAAGGTTCCGTTTTCGATCAGATTAGTCCGGCAACCCGAAAATGTTCTCAAAGTTTCATACGACGAGGGTTGCTTAGGCAATAAGCGACTTCGTCCGAATAATCGAACTAGGACATTCTCTCGGGGTCACCTCGAAAGCACAAATCCTTATGTCTCCAATAATTATTGAAAGTATTTGAGGCGAAGAGACTGCCATACTCGATAAAAATTAGTTAGGTATTTGAAGAGTTTCGGGCATCCATTGATATAAAAAGAGAGAAACTATCGGAACAACCGAATTTTAAAGGTCCCGTTCTCGATCAGACCAGTCCGACCAGTTAGTTCAACAGTGACCCGAAAATGTTCGCAAGTTTTCATCAGAATTAAAAGAGACGTTCATGTCGGACCGAGCCGAACCGCCAATACTTCTACTCAAGTCGCTTCGAGTTAAAAAAAAAAAAAGGGTTAATACCACAAAAAACCCCAAACGGGTACATTCGTGACAATTTTACCCTGAACTAATTTTTTGATCACGAAAAATCCCAAACTGGTACACCTGTAACAAATTTACCCCAAACTAATTTTTTAACCACCAAAAACCCTGAATTGGTATATTTGTGACTAATTTATCCTCAATTAGTTTCCATTAAATTGAATTAATACAGCGAAAAACCCCAAACTGGTACGCCTGTGACAAACAGAGGGCAAAACATAAAATTGGTTAATGCTTCAATTGCCGCGTGTCATTTAATAAAGCAATTTGACGGTAAAATTTAACGGAAATAAACTTATGGTAAATTTGTTATGGGTGTACCAGTTTGGGGTTTTTGGTGGTCCAAAAATTAATTCGGGATAAAATCGTCACAGGCGTACCAGTTAGGGATTTTTCGCGGTATTAACCCAAAAAAGAAAAACAGGATCAAAAGGTAAAAAGAAAACCGGTAACGAGTAATTCATGGGGAAAAGGGCAAAAAAAAATACCCGATTCAAAGAGTAAAAGGAAAAGAAAAAAAAAGTGAGAGAGAATAAAATAAAATAAAATTAAAATAAAATAAAAGCGGTGGGGGAGGTGGGGGGGAGGCAGGAGTTGAAGCTGTCTCCTGCGGCCGAGACAAACCCCTCTGCGCTGCGGTCAATTTCTTCCCCCCCATTTTCCCACCAAAAAAACACACTTTTTTTATATTATTTATTTAACATTAAAAAACTAATAAAATTAATAAAAAGTGAAAAAGAAAAAAACCAGCCAATCGCATCTCGACACGCCGCCGCCCCCGGGGCAAAATTTCGGTCAGCGGTCACCACCCCACCCCTGGTTCCGCCCACTCCCAGATTCTTTATTTTGCCGATTCACTTTATCATTTATTTTATTAAATTAAAACCTTCTTTTTGATTGAAAATAATATTAAAATTCTGTGCTCTCGATGCGCCTTTGGGATATATCTTTTTGGGGTTAATTAAAGTAAGTTGGCATTTTGGCCTAAAAAAAAAGGATTGTTTCAGGAAATTACCGTCCTCCTTAATTTATAAATAGCCGGGAAAGCATAATTGCGCGTATCCACAGTGACCGCGACGTTCCAGCACGAGAACGAGGTACGCCGCCCGATTCTGTACACAGATCGAACCGACAGTCGACATGGTGAATAGGGTCGATGGAAGCGTAAAACACCGTGTGAAAAATTTTACAGTCTTTGATGAGGTCGGCGCGTGATGAACGGATTTCAAAGTGGGTTAATTCGATACAGCAAATTTATACATATTAATAGCCAAAAAAAAAAATTAGACTTGTTGCGAAATCACCCGTCACAACATTATTATTTATTTTACAATTTTTATCATTTTTTGCATTTTCTTTTGGGGTTTTTGATGAATGAAATATGAAGAAAAAGGAAAGAGTCTGGGAAAAGAGCGTGCGCCGCTCACCAGCGCCGTACGAACACCGAAAGGAAGGGGGCGTTTTTGGGGGGGGGGGGGTTGGTAGGGCTGACGTCATCCTCCTCCGCCCCCCCTCGCGTCTAATCAGGCGGCGGCTTCCACGTGCGCGCCCACCTGCTCGAATCGCGGCCGTCCGTTCCCTGCACCGGCGCTGGCTTGCTCCTGCGCGGATCGGACGGCGGCGGATCGGCCCGCGTCCGTGACTTCGAAAATTGCAGCCCCAACGGCCAAAAGAGAACAAGAAGGAAGAGGGGAGCAAAATAGGAATTCCACTTCTTGTTTTCGGCGGAGAAAATGACGCAATCTGTCCTTAAATTTTAGCTCAATATATAATTTAGTCCATGAACTTTAACCTAATATTCAATGTGGCCCTGAACTTTTAATTTATTCAATGTGGTCCTTAAACTTTTGGTACGTGTTCAATTTAGTCAATGAATCATATAAAACTGTTTAATATAGTCCCTCCAGGGGCCACATTATATATTAGGCTAAAATTAAGGGATTATATTGAACAAATTAAAAGTTTAGGAACCTAATTGTACATTATGCCAAAGTTCATGAACCGTTTGTGTCTTTTATCCCTTTTTGGTACTCTTGTTTTGAAAAGTTCCACCAATTTGTTTCTTTTTAATCTTTAGCTGAATTTCATTTTGATATCTAAGTTTTTGCATTCGATATCCCCGCGTGATAGTAACGACGAGGTCGTTGTCGTGTGTCGTGAGTCTCAGTCATACCCATCGTCGTGCGATTCTGCATCTCTCATTTTTTTGATTGGCCAATCATATCATACGTCGCTGCCGTGTGATGTACCCGTCGAAGTACAAGAACAGTGCACCACCTCATACGGAGGCGAAATCCGTTCCTCCGCCGCGACTCACTTGCAGAAGTCGTACAACTTTAAAACTCGTCGTGTTAGTTTACTATTGTGCGAGACATATTCGTCGACCGAACAACCTGAACATAAATAACGTGGGGTCAATGACATATTTGACATCTATCGCATAGTATCACCCCGTTCAATTATATCTTAAATTCACTTCCATTCAATGCGATCTAGTAGACCCTCGACCAAATAATTTATCGATCGATCCCTTTTGCCTTAGCACCAACATAGATATATGTATGTATACTCATTTGTTGAATCCAAAAGTAAGGGACTAGAAAAAACAGGACACTTCATTTTCATGTCGGGTTTAGGTAAATTGCCAATCTAATTGAAAAGATAATTATATATCTCCAATTCAACAATTATAGTAAGGGACTTGATCTGATTGCCGTCCCAGCCGACGATTACGGGGTGCGGGGGACTTGCACGTGGGTCCCTCCTCCTCCTGCCTTTTTTATACGCCCCCCACTCTCTCTCTCTCCGCCCACTATTTCTTCCTTCCTTCTCTCTCTCTCCTTCGATTGCTACTGTAGTTTCTCCCTCCACCACCACCACCTCCGCCGCCGCTTCTTCCTCCTCCTCGTCGGTCCATGGCGTCGCCGTCGCCGTCGTCGGCGCCTCGGGAGGGCCACTACAGGGGCGTCCGGAAGAGGCCGTGGGGGCGCTACGCGGCGGAGATACGGGACCCCTGGAAGAAGACCCGGGTCTGGCTCGGCACCTTCGACACCCCGGAGGAGGCCGCCCTCGCCTACGACGGCGCCGCACGCAGCCTCCGCGGCTCCAAGGCCAAGACCAACTTCCCCCCGCCCCCCGCCCCACCTCCCCCTCCGAACTCCTCCTCCGCCTCCGCCTCCGCCGCCGCCGCCGCCCTCTCCCTCGACCTCAACCTCCCCTCCGACCACCACCACCCCCGGTGGCCCCCCGCCTCTCCCCACCACCCCCAGCACCACCACCACCACCACCGGCGGTTCGTCTTCAACGAGTTCCTCCCCGCCGCGGTCCTGGGCTGCGGCGACGTCAAGCGCGAGGTGACGGTCGTCGGCGAAGGCGGAGGCGGCGGCGTAGGAGTCCCGGTGCTGGCGGCTGAAGGCCCCGCCGTCGGAGCTTCGTTCCTGGGGATGGCCACGCGCGGACTGCCCATCGACCTGAACGAGCCGCCTCCTCTCTGGCTGTGACGTCACTATCATGTTCTCTCCCCCCCCTCCCCCCTCACCTCCGTTTTTCCTTACTATCGGAGCTAGAGAGAGAAAGAGAGAGAGAGAGAGGAGGGGCCAAGAAAGAAAATTCGGAGGAAATGAGGCCCTTTTCTGTAAATACATTTTTCTTTTTCGGGGTCCCGTCCCACGTGGAAAACAAAACAATCGGCGATTTTTCCTTCATTTACTCGTTCTCGCTCCTTTGCTTGGTCGGCCGGAAAATCTAATCTAATCTAATCTCTCTCTCTCTCTCTCTCTCTCTCTCTCTGTTCGATCGTTCGTTCGTTCGTTCCGTTCCCCCTCGCGATCCCCGGCGCGGCGGCCGGTCGGCCGGTCTGTAGGCCGGCGACACGACACCGGCCGGTGGCGTGCCGCGCACGCGCCGCGACAGGGGCGCGTGGGGGTGGGGCGGCGGCGACCCGCGGCCGCCGGACAGTGGAAAAAAGAGCGTACGAGGGGGGCAAGCGTGTGCGCCTTCTTTTATCCTTTTTTTTTTTTAATAATAAAAATTAATACTTAGGGATTTAATCGGATAGAGATGGGCAGCAGACAGACAGATCTACGGATCCAGCCTCCGTGTTTTTTTTTTATAATTATCATTATTTATTTATTTATTTTTCCCGCATTATTTTTTCTAATCAGTTCGTGGATATGACGTCAGCGGTCGTGGTCGGGGGCGATTTTTTTAGTGAGGTGTGGGAGTGACGCGATGGGAGATAAAGCGGCTTTAACCAATTGATGGTTTTGATTTAATATAATTTAATATATTTAATTGATTAATTTATATTTTTTTAAAAAATATAGGATAAAGATGGGGAGAGGTCGGTGTTTAGGGGGCGGTTTTGTCAAGGAAATGGGGCGCCGCTGCGGAGGGTGCCGGCTTTGGGTCGCTGTCTGGGTTTCGGGATACGTGGGGGGCCGGTTTTTTCCACGTTTCCCCCCCGGTTTTCGGACCCCTCGAAATTTATTGCCCGGACCCGACCCGATTCAATTTTTTTTTTGAAATATTTTATAATATTAGAATTGTAAAGAAAAAAAAATTATCCAGACGGTCTATAAATTCGTTATTTTTATTCGAGGGCATTTTTGATCGTTTCGCCCCGTCGTCGAATTAAGGATGGACGAGACCGTTTGTTGGGAAAAACTCCCCTTTGACCCCCCCCCCCCAGCCGCCGAGTGTAATGCGGCGTAATTACGAGGAAAATGGGAATGACGGATTAAGAAATTCCGGGGATAGTTTTCCCTTTCTCTTCTTTTCTTTTTTGTTTACAGGCGCGAGAAATTAGTTAGAAGGGGGTTATCATTAAAATGATTCGTAGATTGGCACGGCACACACTTGAGTGGTGAGCGTGCCTATTTATAATTTATCACGTAATTCAATTCTGGAAATCAATCTCATCACACATGATCTTTCATGCAATTGCCCATAAATTCGTGTGAATCTCAAGCTGATATAGGCGCCTGCAATTTTTTTTAAAATTTTATACACTTTTGCCAAATGTTTGATCATATCCATGAGTTTTCTTCTTGGGTAGACCGAGTCCTTACACTACGGTCTTCTCTTCTTTCCATGTTGGCTTTTGAGCTTAAAACATATAGAAAAACGTTGATGTGACAGTCCATGTCATCGCTGAGTCGACTTAAAAAAAAAACAGCAACAATAATTAGAAGAAAAACGGCCAAGGAGAGAGGGGCAAAAGAGTCCGCGAACGACGGCGCATTGCCACTTTGGCATACATATGCGTACTTTAATCTCAATGATCGATATAAGTAAAAGAGACCATACTTCATGGATGGAGATCTGATCGAATATTTGACAAAGATCAATGGATTGCCGGTGCCTTTATTCCAAAGCGGTTTCAATGACGTCGTTTACTTCTTGGCCGTGCTGGCCAATGTTGAAAGATTGGGACGAGATGACCTCTCCGGTTCTAAAGAAGACCCATGAGAAATCAAGCCAACCATGAACCGAACCAAACCGAATCGAACCGAACCAAGCAACTCATAAGGTGATCCAAGTCGGGCTGCCCCAATTGGGCCCGACAAGTTCTAATAAGATGGGGGCCCTTCAAAATCCCAAAATTGAGGGGGACCTCTAACCTTTTTGGTCAATCATCTTCAGTTTCTATAACCCTCTTCTTCCATGACCCTTTCCAACTCTTATCACTAATTAAGAAATTAATCCTTCCTCTTAAGGCCTAATTAAAAAAAAAACACCAATTTTACCTTTAGTGACAATTCTGGCCCAAATTTTTGTTGTCTCATAAAAAATTACTAGCTTTAACTTAAATTTCAAATATGACCCGAACAATTTGAAAATTTCATATCACAGGGGCTGGAATTTGGGACTCGAGTAAAAGTTGGTGCTTTTTATCGAGACAAAAAAAAGTTCGAGTCAGAATTGTCACTCAAGATAAAGTTTGTGTTTTTTTTTTTTTTTGAATTAGCCCCTCCTCTTGATGACTCGAGACATGTTCAATATCTCCCCCAAGACGACCATTGTCACCTAGTGCACTCCCAAACGACAAAAAAACACAAAGACTAAAAAAAGATAATCTCGGAATATCCTCGCTAATTATTAATCAATGGGAACAACTCATGTCATATGTTGGACGGCAATGCGGTGGAGAAAGGTGGGTCATATTTTATTCGGTCAATTTCTTTCTTAATCTCTCGGAATATATTAATTAAAACTATATTAATTAAAAAATTATTTATCAAAACAGAAAAAAAAACCCCCCTTTTTTTATTTTGCCCCCCTTAAGCAGTATTTTAGTCAGGAGAAATGGACGGTGATGGAGAGATTGTCAGCATAAATCCTATCAAAGCTTTAGACGAGCTGCCACCTTTTGGGTCAACACAACTCCTTTCGGGCCTTCGATAATGGTCGGTGCTTGGCGGTGGCGGTGGCGGTGGCAGTGGCGGCGGCCTCCTTTCCGTGGGACGCCCACGCTTTCTTCGCACTTTTTAAATGTCGCCCACGAGAAAATTTTCAAATCTAGTACCTCGAATTTCTGAATTTGCACGTTCGCCCCCCCGAAATATTCGATGCGCCCCTCGACGTAAAAAAAAAATGTTCCCTTATCGAGTAAGGGCGGGGTGAAATTGTAATATACCGAACGTGGTTTACGAAGGGAAACGTTTTTCTACCTTTTTGACCGCGGTATTTTTCACTATCGTCCGACGAGGCAATGCCCTATGAAACTTGGAAGTGGAAGCTACGGACGAGAGCTTGCAATCTACTAACCACCAACGTAAAAACTAAGCTTTTCCGAGGTTCCTTCAGAGAGACTGAACGTGGGTGTCGTAGCCAGAGGTGATCGGCTCCTGAGCAATCCAGTTTTCGCCTGGGAATCGGTAACCGAACCAAAGGGGCCGGTTCCCCATTTCTAGAATTGAAAACGGAACCAGTGGCCCCTAAAACTAATGACATATTCAATTTTTTTTTTTTTGATTTTGATGTTCAAGATGAAAGATAATCAACGCGTTTCTATAATTAATGAGTTACGTGTAACATTGTAAGTTTTACCCAATTTGTGGCATAATTTGATTGGAATGAGTAATTACTGTTGTGTTTTGATATGTTTTTGTCATCTTACTCACATGTATAAATAAACGTAGTTGCTTTAACCTTGAAAGGGCTTCCTTTGTGAAACGAGAGATAGATTAAGGTTTATTTCACATATTTTTAAGAAATTTTTTAAAAAATTTGTCCAGTCCAGGCGGGCGGCTCCATACCTAGAATTGGGAATCGGGCAAAAACTCATTGGTTCCACTTTTATGGAACCAGAAACCGAACCAGTGCCTCTAGGAACCATCTAGAACTGGCTGGTTTGGTCTGATCCGATTTGGGCGGTTCCTCCATCCCTAGTTATATGGCGCTTTTTGGTTCCGGTTATTACATAAAGCAAAGAGTCGTCTCACGACCCTTTTTCTCTTTTCAACAGATATTCTCGATCGGGTTATTTTCCAAATATTCTATAGACGGAATCAATAATTTAATTTTGTCTCTCGCTAATGTTAATTTTTTAAAAAATTTGAAATCTATTCCATCTTATAGATTAACTTACCAAAAAATAAAATAAAACGATTAACACAAAAAAAAATCAGCCACCACTTCATGGAGGGGAAAATTCTAGAACCGAGTGGGGGAATTGGGGAACGCCCGACGAGTGGGGGACCCACGGGATTATAGTGCCCGTGGTCCCCACTATTCAAATTAAAATTAAATAATCCCATTTTGTTTAACTAATTATTTTAACTGAAGTTTATTTAATGCCCTTAAAAATTTGTCGGGTTATTGTACGGATCGATGATAAAAAAAATTAATAATACAAGAAAAGGACGCTGCGCGGCTGCGGTACCTATTTCGTGCCGCAAAGGTCGAGCCAGCGAATAATAAAATGAAAAAAAACAAAAAAAAACGAGAGAAAATAAATAAATAAATAATTTATTTAAAAGTGGGAGAGAGAGAGAGAGAGACAAGTCCACACGTAAGCGTCCACTTCCTTCCCGCGATCGCCCGCCGTGTTATTCGCTCGCGTCAGCGGAAGGCCGAGAGATCATCAGGGCCGTCCATCAGGAGGACGCAAGCGGCGGAAATCGGACGGCCGACGATTCCCGCGGGGTCATCACTCACCGTTGATTTTGACCCCTTGGCCAGTCGCCCGGTCCCCCCGCCCACTTAAGTACACTTTCCTTGACTCGTCCCACCATGCTTTTTTGCTTTTTGCTTTTTCCATTTTTTTCCTTACAAAGGGATTTCGAAAGTGATTTTTTATATTTAAATAAATAAAATATTCAACCAAGATAATTTTTCCTGCGGCTTTTTTTTTTTCTCTCTGGGGGTAAAAAAGAAAAAGATGAGAGAGTTGACCATTGTTGACTGTCTCTTGCGTGCTCCAGTGGGATAGTTTTCTCATGAAAAAAGTAAGAAAAGGACGAAAGAGGGCCAGCGATACGAACGGCTCTAGACACCATCGATACGCAAAAATAGATAAATTGAAATTCACGTCGATTTCACATATTTTATTAAAGGGTTAATATCACAAAAAACTTTAAAATGATACACCCGTAACAAATTTATCCCGAACTAAATACATGTGATAAATTTATCCTGAACTAATTTTTTAACTACCATAAACCCCAAACTGGTATACTTGTGTCAAATTTACCCTACGTTTTTTATTTTTTTTGGTAAAAAAGATTT